ATATTGTTGATGTGTTGTGAGATTGTTAACCATTGTCATAGGGCAACATTTGTAGTAACTGTTAAATGAGAAACTATTTTGTTCTGTAAGCCTTCACCTGAAGTACAATTTAAAAAAAAAAAATCAAAAACAAAAGGTCAGCCATTCAAATCCACCAGCAGCTCCTTGGAAACCCTATGGGGCAGTTCTACTCTGTTCTACAGGGTCACTATGAGTCAGAATCGACTCAACAGCAACAGGTTTGGTTTAGTTTTTAAGAAAATGAAGGAAGCAGAAGAAGCAAGATAAAGATTTATTTCTTTCATTTTTCCCAAATGAATCCTGAGCCTTCATTCCCTCCTTCCTTTCTTCCTCTCTCCTTCCTTCCTTCCATTTCTCTCCTTCCTTCCATCTCCTTCCTTCCTTCCTTCCATCTCCTTCCTTCCATCTCCTTCCTCCCTTCCTCCTTCCTTCCTTTGTTCCTTCCTTCGTTCCTTCCTTCCTTCCCCGTTCTTCTAGCCATATCCTGAATTTCTCATGCTCGTTTCTGGCTCTAAGTCTTTGATTCATTAACTATTTCCGACATGGTTTTCCAGATCATTTCTCCAACCTGTCCAAAGGACACTGGGCTTTTGAGATTTAGTTTAAGTTTTAACTCCTCTGTGAAGCTTTCCTTGTGTACTCCAATCTTCTCCACTATTATTTTTCACCTCTTAAGCATACACCGTGACATTTAGTAACAAGTTGATCTTTCTTCAATTCCTTAGAAACAGTCACGAGATTACTGCACCCTTCCCTCCTAAGCTTCCGGACCAGAGTTAAAACAGAGCTGACCAGTGATTTCTCTACTCGTCCCTGCCTCTTGGCATTAATCCTCCCTCACCTCCAGGAGCCCAGTTTTATCTTTCTAGAAGAATCCCCTGTTTTTCTAAACCCTAACTATTGCTATCAGTCCAGATAATGCCAAGCTTCAAAGTCACCTATATTTACTTCTAGCCCCACCCACACCCAGCATGTGTTTCTAATTAAATCAGTCAACATGAAGGTGGGATGCGCTGCTAGCCCTCCGTTAGTGCTCTTCCCTGAAGATCCCTTACTTCATGGAAATCTCTGAAAGTTGGGTATTCAGGTCAGGGTAGGAGGCAGCTAGGTCTTATCACTAACCCTGTCTGACACAAGCTAGACTTCTAAAGGGGAAAGAAGGAGAGTATGTGGTCGCCATCCCTTCTCATTTGAGAGAAGAGCCTCTTACTGCTTTGCTTCCTCTCCATCCACCCTCCCATTTACACCCTGTCTCCCTCCATTTCCTCTAGGCACTGGAATTCCAGTCTGTTCTTCTCTTTGCCCTCCATAAAGGCAGCGTGGGGGTGGGGGGAGTTTTCACAGTATGCCGGAGCATTCTACCTCTGGACAATAAATCTACAAGTATTTAAGGGGACTTCAGAGCAGTCTCTTGCCCCACCCACTTTCTAATTCACTAAACAGTTTTCTTGAACATTTGAACATTGGAAATATAATGGGAACAAGTAATAATTCCTGAGATTAAGGAGTTTATCATGATGGTTGGCTGGCTGAGGGGCAGATAATAGGGAGCTACCATAATGTGAGATACGTCTAACTTCAGGGGAGACAAGGTGTTACAAGAATAGATAGAGATAGCCCAGTCTTGAGGGAATTAGATAAAGCTTCCTAGGCAAAGTGATGGCTGGTTGAAATCAAAAGTCAAAGAGGAAAGTTAGTGAAAAGCAAACTAACTAAACCGTGCAGTCGATTCCGACCAATAGCGACCTTATAGGACAGAGTAGAGCTACCCCATAGGGTTTCCAAGGAGTGGCTGGTGGATTTGACTGCCAACCTTTTGGCTGCAGCTGAGCTCTTAACCACTGCGCCACCAGGGCTCCAGGAAGAGCATAGGGAAGGAAAAGATATATGCAAATGCCTAGAAAAGAAAGAAAATGGCAAATACGTGGCAAACGTGGTTCAATCTGGCTAGAGCACACTGTGCGATCATGTGAAAATACAAAGCCTATTGATAAGCTGACTAAACTAGGCCAAAAATGGAGTCACTTGTGCTAAACCCCATGGCAGCAAACCGAAATCTAAGTTTCCATTTCATGCAAATGCCTAGCTTTCCCAGAAGCCAAAATCCAAGTTAATGTATTGACTCTCCTGGAAACAGAAACTTAAACTAGCTAATCAAAAGCCTGTACCTCGCTTCGGAACTCTTGTCTTTGACTTTCAGATCAGACATTCCCCGCTTCAAGAACTGTAAAACAAAGCTTACAAGTCATACACAGATTTAATACTGTGAAAATTCTATTTTTAACACTATTTAGACTAATTTAAACGGGCTTAAAATACTATCCCCTCCTCCTAGAAATGCTTTGTTTGGTTGTCTACATTAGTAACAGGAGTTGGAATCACTTGTTTAACTGCTTACCATTTAACTTACTAAATGGAAGCAAAATAATTACTATGGGTATTAGTAATTAGTTACTGGTAGATTTTCCTACCGTATAGAATAACCGTATAGAATGGTTAGTCTCCGAGTTTAAAGAACTAAAGAGGCACTGGGGCATTAATAGTTTTAGAGTGAGCCATTTAGAGAAGTAATACTTTCTTAATATCGTAATACATCTTCTTGGGAAAATGTTATAGGAAACAGTAAAGGCATTATAGAAATAGTAAAATAATGTAAACAGTAAGTATAGCAAAAATAATAATGATTTAGCCACTTCTCAAAACAAATGAGTATCACAAAATAAGAGATTAACAGTAAAGTTAAACCAAGGAACATATCATTCAGGCCTTACAAATGCTATTATTTACTGGGAACTTGGGAGGAAATGTTAATTTATTTTGATAAAATGGCAAACAATTCTCTATTTTCTTGGAAATTTCAGCTGAGCTTAAATTTGTACATGGAAATGACAACTTTTTAGAGAGCAATTGTTATTTTGCCTTGACTAATGTCATAAAGTATGTGCTCCTACACATACTGTATAAAATGCTGGACTGTTCGGTGAAGGATGACAATAAAGTGGTTCCCACAAGCTTCGGTATCCTGACCTGAAAAATGAGAGGGGTGGGCTCGGCTGATGTTCCCTCAGGCTCCTTCTACCTCTTAAGAGTTTCAGATCTGAGCCTATGTCTAATTTCTTGCAGGAACGAGGAGTCAGAACTTCAGAGCAATTCACTGATTTTATAAATGCTATGCCCTGTGAAAACCCTCATTTGTCTTTAGATAAGCAATTTTCCAAATCTCTTTTGAAAACCCATTTTCTTTGTCTGTCTTCTCTTTATAAAATCTACGAGGAAAAACTGCATTCGAGTTCAGTAATACCGACAACGCAAAACTCTTCTAAACGCAATCAAGCGGCGAGGAGACTAAGTATAGACTCCTGGGCACCCGTAGATCGGATTCTGTGAATCATGGACCGGAAGTGACTGCGTCGGGGCGGCTGCCTTTCCTGAAATACGAAGTACAGCCGCTCCCCTATGGTATTCAGTAAACCAACAGAAGTCTAAGAGCATGGAGGCAGTGCGCCCTCCCCCGACGGCGGGGAAGTTTGTGGTGGTCGGCGGCGGCATCGCGGGAGTCACCTGTGCGGAGCAGGTAGGGCGGGCGCGCAGGCGGCTCCGCCTCTTCCCCGACCCCTAAAGCAGCAGCGTTCGAAGCCTCCCTCCCTGCCCTTCTTTTCTTCCGGTTCCTTCTGTTTTGGGTCTCCTTGCGCCCTCGATGTTAGAAATTGCGTGGTGCACCTCAGATGAGGTTATTAATACTTCGCAGGCTTCGCCTAAAACGCAGGGAGGAGAGGTGGGGAGCAAATAATTAGTGTTGAAACCAAACCTGGCTAAACCAGACTGTGGTCCTGGTAATACCAGAGCACTTGTAACTACGTGTACAGAAAAGTCAGCCCCCTTAATTGCCATAGCCAATTGAATTCATCTGCCCAATAGGTGCCACATCTTTAGTGCATCATAACTAATTGGTACAGAAGCGCTTGCATAAGTTTCCTATACTTTGAGCTTCCAAGATAGAACTCCACTAATGTTTTGTACAGCAACCAGCAAGGGGTTAAATGCAGTTAGGAGATGTTTTTCTGATTATAACGAATATTCAGTGTATGTATATCTGGCTTCCAGAGAGGCTTAAATTATTTTGTTGTTATAAAGTAAACATAAGCAAACACTAATGTCAAAAAATAGAGCAAGCAACTCAAGGGCTTTTTGTTTGCTTTGTTTTTAATTTTTAATCTTTGGATGTGTATTTTCCATTTCCATTTATTCACCAAGTAAACACCAATGATCCAGGCACTGTTCTAAGGGCTAGGTACTCAAATATAGATAGAGAGCATAGCACCTCCTTACTAGGGACTCAATCTAGTGGAAGAGACATATGTAAAGAAACCATTTCATCAATGTTAACTGCTGTGTTAGGGTGCTTGTGGAATTGGTATGGAGTGAATTAGGGGAGGCTTCTTAAAGGAGGTGTCATTTTATCCCAGCATAGAAGAATGAAAGTTCAGCAGGTAGATGGGAAAGAAAGACGTTCCAAATGGAGACAACAGTATAATAACCTCTGGTGAAAAAGCATGGCATCGTCTGGGAGCAGCAAGGCTTAAAGAACATTGTGCTTGGGAAAAGTGACCAGAGATGAAGCTGGAAGGCTGGGCGGAGACTAGATTATAAAGCGTCTTATAAGTCATGCTAAGAATTTATGAGAATTTGTAAGTAGTCAAATGGTTTTGAGCAGTGGAGTGAGGTGAGCAGTGAGAAGTTTTGAAAGATGACTGGTTACAACGTGTTTGAGGTGGGGGCAGCTGATTAATTTATGAGACTGGCAGGCCAATTTGAAAGTGATTTCAGTAGTATAAAGTTTCGAGGGCCTGAGCTAATGGGAACAGATAAATTACAGAATGTGCAAAGGAAATAATTCAAAATGGAGAGTGATAAATGCCAGTATTATAAGAAGTTCAAATGAGGTAAGACTAAAAAGAATCTGATGGGTTTTAAGGGTGTATGGAGTACTTGAACCTGCTCAGTTTTAGTGGTATATTAGAGATTAAAAACAAAAACAAAACCCAGTTGCCATCAAGTCTATTCTGATTCATGGCGACCCCATGTGTTTCAGAGTAGAACTGTGTTCCATAGAGTTTTCAATGGCTGTGATCTTTCAGAAGTAGATCACCAGGCCTTTCTTCAGTGGGGCATCTGGATGGATTCGACCTTTCGGTTAGTAGCCAAGCATGTAACTGTTTGTGCTACTCGGGGATTCCATATTAGAGATGGAAGCCAGATAATCAAGGTGGGTGGAGTTGAGGAACTGGATAGTGAGATCAGAAAATGCCTTTAAGAAATTTTAAAGTCAGGAAGAGAGGTTATAACTAGAGGAAAATAAAGAGACAATAGCAAGTTAAACCTCTGAATTTTGTTAAAGCTATTATTAAAATAGCTATGTCTTCCCAAAACATAACCTGGTTGGCTGTTTGTAAGGGGCAGAATAGGAGTACAAAGCACTTGAGAAAATGAAGCTAAGATTCTAAGTTTTTTTTTTTTAAAGTATTTGCTGTAATTTCATCCTACTGAAGGAAAATGAAAATATCCTTTTTTTTTTTTAGTATTATTTAAAAGTAAATAGGAGTTGGTTTAACTGTTAATTGGGAAGATACTTTATTCTCATCCTCTGCATGATTAAATTGGTATATAAAATACTTCAAGTAAATAAGGGATACCTCTTTATATTACTATTTTTCTACAGAGGATCTTTGTTAGTGTTTGGTGTAAACATATATTCGTTTTTTTAATCAATATCAGAGTTTAATGTTACCATTGCTCCATAAATGTAAAAAAGACTCAGGATAATGAAGACTTTGATGAGAAACAGTGAGTTTTTAGTTTCCTAGGTTAATAACAATATTGAAATTGTATTATCCACACCCCACCCCCACACCATATATACCAATACCTAAATTCATTTATCATATTTTTTTCTCTTACTTTTGTAAAACAAGTTGGCTGTTCACTTTCCATCAGAAGATATTCTCCTGGTAACAGCTTCTCCTGTTATTAAAGCAGTCACAAATTTCAAGCAGGTAAGAACCTTTATAACTTTTCTTAGTATTCTTAAAAAGTACAATAACTCGCTTAGCAATTAGGGTAATTGTGTTGTTTTCATTGTTTAAAATGACAAATCTTCTTTTGATATTTATTTTAAAATCAAAGCTTGAAGTTTAGAAGGATTCAAACTGAATACCGAAAGGGCTTAGAATGATATTTAATTTCTGTTCTTTTTTTTCCCTCCTATCTTTTCCTTTCACTCAATCCATATATGTCAATTACTTCTTAGAAAATTTTCATTAAGATTATTTTGAGAAAAGGTGCTTTGCAGATCTGAATGTTGTTGTTGTTAGGTGCCATCAAGTCGGTTCCAACTCATAGCAACCCTATGCACCACAGAACGAAACACTGCCCAATCCTGCGCTGCGCTCAAAATCGTTGTTATGCTTGAGCCTATTGTTGCAGCCACTGTGTCAGTCCATCTTGTTGAGGGTCTTCCTCTTTTTCGCTGACCCTCTACCAAACATGATGTCCTTCTCCAGGGACTGATCTCTCCTGACAACATGTCCAAAGTATGTAAGATACAGTCTCGCCATCCTTCCTTCTAAGGAGCATTCTGGTTGTACTTCTTCCAAGACAGATTTGTTCATTCTTTTGGTAGTCCATGATATATTCAGTATTCTTCGCCAGCACCACAATTCAAAGGTGTCAATTCTTCTTCGGTCTTCCTTATTCATTGTCCAGCTTTTGCATGCATATGATGCGATTGAAAGTACCATGACTTGGGTCAGGTGCACCTTAGTCTTCAAATCTAAATATGAATACAAATATATTTATATATATAGTGTGTGTGTATGTAAACCAAGTTTATACTTAACAGGTTACGTTTCAAATGTATAATAAGCATTTCAGAACCCTTTACTATAAGTTCATGAATTTATGGTACACATTATAATAGGTGCGTAAGATCAGTTGGATGATAGATTCATAGGAGAGTGGTCTCCCAACTTTTTTTATCCTGCACCAACCTGTAGAAAATCTTTGAGCTCACATCCCAGTGTGTGCGCTGCCATTGAGTCAATTCTGACTCATACCAACCCTATAGGACAGAGAACTGCCCCATAGAGTTTCCGAGGCTGTAAATCTTTACGGAAGCAGACTGCCACATCTTTCTCCCATGGAGCAGCTGGTAGGTTCAAACCACCAACCTTTCATTTGGCAGCTGAGTGCTTTAACCACTGTGCCACCAGGGCTCCTATCCCAATATATGTATATTTATTTATTTATAAATTAGATACATGTATTACAGTGTTAAAATTGTTGATGTTATAAAGCCTATGCAAAAAAAAAGGTTGAAAAACATAAGTTCTGATATTTTCTTCCCATACTTCAGTGAAGACTACTGCCATAGTCTTTAATACAAGTGTTCCCTGATAATACATTAATATTGGAACATAACTTTCTCATGTGAACCCCTAAAAAGAAGGGTGATTTAGTGCCACATATTATGTTACCCCTTTAGAACCTGCCTTAGTACCTTAGATATCTTATTACCGAGGTACAGCCAAAAGAGTTACAGGATTGAGAGAACCATGAACAAATTAGGCTAATAATCTCTTTAAAAAGTATATATTTAATTACACACTAAAAGCACATACATATGACAAAGATATTTAGCTGGGTCTTATGTTTTCCACAAGACTTAATTGAGTGCAGTGTCCTATGGAATAGTCAGGCAAGATAATGATTCAAAAGTACCTATTTCTAGAAAATCATTAGTGACTTTGAGACACTATTTTGAGAAACTAATGGGAGGTAACTGTAAAATGACAGTAAACATAAACATCTCTCTTACCATTTGGCTATGAAAAAAGACAAGACAGAATGGCAGCAAAAAGAAGACATAGGACCTAGCATTAAGGGGGCCTTGTATTCTTTTAAGATGGAAAAGACTAGAACATGTTACCTGTTGAAAGTAATAAACTAGTGGGAAGACCGAAAATAGAGGAAAAGGCAAGAAATACGTAATAAGGCAGAGACCTGAAGAAGTGAGAAGTGATGGGGTACGGAACAGATTAATGAAGTTCTCTTGAAAAGGTGGGAGAGAGGAATGAGTCCAGGAAGGTGGACTAGAGCAGAGTTTATAGATTGTTTGAGGAAGTAGTAAGAGTTCTTAGTAGTCTCTTTGAGCTTAGAAATAAGGTGGTTTGCTAAGAATGAAGAGGATGGGATATAGCTGGGGAGTGTTAGAATGATGAAAATTTGGAAAAGTCACCAAGACAATGGAAGATGTTACTAAAATATTATTTGGTGTTTTCACTGTTTTGACCTTTACACTGATGGTACAAAAGCAGTGATGGCTAAAATGCTAGTACCTTAGCACAAATTAAGACAGTGGCAACCAAATTGTGCCAGTGTCATTGTGTTTTTGACTGCTGCACACTCACAGTTAAAAAAAAAAAAAAAAAAAAGAAGCAAAAAGTATTAATTTTATTAAACCCTGATTCTTAAGTGCATATCTTTTTTAACATTCTGTATGATGAAGTGGTTACATAGGATTGGAAAATGAACGAAGTCCGCATTCAGGCAAAATAACTGGCAGTATTTGTTACCAATGATAAAATTAGAGCTTTCTGCAAAAAATCAGACTTTTGGAAAACTTATATTCTCTACTGTGAGCCTCCCAGTACTAAGACTTTTCTAATGAGATTATTGGTGATAGTAATGTGATTTTTTTGATATTGTGTTGATTTAAAATATGTCAGTATTTGGGAGATCTGCATAATTCAGTGAATCAACATTTCCGGATGACCACTGCTTGATGTTGTAAGATCCATTCAGTGTGCAAGACAGACCAATGGATTCTAAAGTAACAGACTATAAAAAATTTCTTTGATGTGGTTTCAAATTCCACACTGTAACTAATCTTTAAGAAAACCATGACTTGTCTAGTTTTAGTGTAGCATCAAAGGAGAATACCTACACTTATCTGAAAAGGCTATTAAAATTCTTTTCCCAGTTGCATAGCTGTGTGAGGCTAAATTTTCTTCATGTATGTCAACCAAAGCAATATATTACAGCAGTTTGAATGCAGAAGCAGATAGGCAGCTTTCTTTTGTTAACATTAAAGAGATTGATAAAAAATGAAAAACTCTTCTCACTGAATTTTTTTGTTTTGGAAAATGTAATTATTTTTCATTAAAAGTATATTTGTTTAATGTATTGGGTTTATAATTTGTAAGTACTTAGATCTTTTTCTCAGTTTTAATTTCTAGTATGATAAATATTAATAGAATAAGCCACACGAACAACAGCTCTTTGGGGCCCTCAGTAATTGTAAGAGTTTTACACTCCTGAGACCAAAAGGGTTGAGAACTGCTAGGGTCATATAGTAGGATTTCCATGCAGTGTTTAAGGAGAAGCCTGGGTATAATAAGAGTAGAGAAAGTAGGTGGTTTAATCTATGGATGGGGTTTTTAGGTTAATGGTTAAGGGATACAAGAACAAGGAAGTAGTAAAGGGTTTGAGTAAAAGATTAAATGGAATTTTAGCTGGGTAGGAAAGAAAATTAGTCCATTGTTTTGGAGAACAGGAAAGAAGAGTCCAAAGATTAGATCACAGTAAGATTTTATAGTAAGTAGAGAAGGATAGGAAAATAGATAAGCTGCTTGATTAAATCTGCAAAATAACAATGAGGAAGTAGGTAGTTAGCTGTTATTTTACAGTTCAGTCCTCAGTTTACAGGTCAGGAAGCTAAGGCTCAGTGACTTAGTGACTTGCCCAGGCGTAGTAGAAGTTCAGGTCTTGTACACGGAGTCTAGTCCTCTTCACCTGTATATAATGCTGTCGCTGACTTTCCTGTCTTATGTACATGAAATAGTAGTATATAAAAACAAATGAAAGTATTTTATTATTACTGAAGATTGTTGAAAGAAAAATACTTTTAAAACATGCAGTGTACCTCTTTGATCAAATACAGGTTTCTAAAATATTAGAAGAATTTGATGTTGAAGAACAACCTAGTACCCTGTTAGAAAACCGGTTTCCCAACATTAAGGTTATAGAATCTGGAGTAAAGCAACTGAAGAGTGAAGAGCACGTAAGACATTTATTTTTTTCTGAGTGACGCTTTCCCTTGTTAAATCGTGGTGAGCTTTTGCCTGCCTGCCTTTGACTCCACCTACCAGTACCATCAGCATCACCATTTAAGTCGCTAACGTGAAGTTTAATAGCATGAATTTCCATTATTATTTGAAAAAAATTACACTTTATTGCAAATTTATTGGGATTACATAATTAGTTCAGCATTTTAGGTTTCACGTTTCAAATTAGCATTTGTTTATATAGGGTTCACCGTGTTCTGGACACTTGCATTAGGTGCTGGGATATGTTAGAAATAAGAGCTCCAGGGAGCTGTCAGTATTATAGGGAGTAGACATGCGTACGTACAATTATACTGACATGTGAAACTCACAGTTGTTGAAATATGATGAGAGCTCTGATATTAGGGATCTGGGAAGACTTCACAGAGGGAGTAATATTTAAGCTGGGTTTGAAAAGGTGAATTCAGAGTTCTCCAGGTGGAAGAGGACATTACAGAAAGAGGAGATTGCCTGTTATAAAGACTTGGAGGAAGGAAAAGGGACACATGCAATAGTGAGGATGTCAAAGCGATCGTGGTAAGGAAAAGTAAAGGATATTGACAGACAAGGCTAGAGAAATAGGTAAATAAAATTGCGAAGAGCTTCTTCCGTCATGCTAAGAAGCTGGATTTATGTTATAATCAGTGGAGAAATTGTAAGAGATTTAAGTAGGTAGGAGTGATAGAACAGGTTTTGTTTTAGGAAGATATGTCTGAGAACAATGTGGGGGATGAACTGGGGTGAAGGGCGTGTCTGGTGACCAACCATCAAGTCAGAGACAGTGGCAGTAGCTCAGAGATGATACAAGACCTGACCTAATACAAAGATAATGTAAATGGAAAGAGCGGCCCAGATTTGAGGGAGAGTCTGCTATAAACTCAACAAGACTTAATTCACTGGACACGAGAACGAATAAGGATGTTGTCAGATGTCATCTTTACAAGATACTCAGATGAGCTTTAAGCAAAAGGGAAAGTAAGATTTACAATTGTTTCTCTAAGGCAGTTTTAATTGATGAATTTTCCCTTTAGAGAGAAAATGCCTGCATGCCACATTTGAGACAAATTTAGGAAAAAAAGTGAGAAAGTACTGAGTTATTTTTGAGGGAAAAAAAATAAGAAATCTGAATCCAAAAGCCAGAGTAAGTTGCTAATACTTATACTATTAACGCAGTAGTCCATATAACATCCCTGTCAATTAATTTTTCAAATTGAGGTGGGCTCTGAGAAGTACACAAATGAGTTGTGATGGAATTTATATATTAGATCATTTGAATCAATGCTTATTACCATTTGAAAAGTATCCCACATGAAATGCATGTCTTCATTCTCCTATCCTTCCTTTACATTCTAAACTAGAGATAGTGTGTTTTACTTTCATGTCTGCTTATAAAAATTTAGCAGTAGCTAAGGAATAGGGTTTTTGTGTTTGTGCTGTTTGTTGTGCAGTATTTATTTTGTGCAGAATTATTTTTAAAATTTGGTCGCCATTAGTAATGTCTATTTCTGTCAGATAAGTTTCTAATCAAATTTTCTGAAGGAATACTTGTATAAAATTCTCTATAGCTTATACTGTGTTAGATTATTGGTTTTATGAATTTGTTGTGCAAATGAAGACTTAGCTGAGTAACACATGTCTTAATGAGTATTAAGTCCTATCTTATGATTTGCCAAGTTTTATAAATAAAACACATGGCACAAATGTTAACCCCTAAACCATTCCAACAAAGTCTGGTGTCACTCATGGTGGCATGCACTTATATATATCTATATCTTTTCTAAAGGCTGCTATTTACATGTAAATTTTCATTCAGTATTAATGAAGAAAAACAATGTTTTATCTGTAATATGTATTTTTAGACTTACTGATGTTATTTAAAAATTAAGTGATATAAGTAACTTTACAGCCAATACATGTTAAGATTGAAGAGTAACATGTTTTATGTTAAAGTGTTATCCCCAAAAGAGCATTTAGTTTGCTGGTAAATTGTTATTTGTACTTAAGAATATAAATACTGTTTTTTTAGCATTCATAATCTTTTTAGATTAAAAAGACATAGCCTCTTCTACCACAGAGTCCCTCCTTGTACCCATAATAGATGTTAAGGTATGGTATGATTAGAATCACTAGTTCTTCTTTCAGTAACTTCCATTAATATTAGAGATGTTCATCAAGGCCTGCTCCAGGTATATAATATGATCAGAATGCTCAATTCTAAAATTTCAGAAAGTGTAGTTTTTAACCTGAGGTCAATATACCTCTCCAAACATCATGAGATTCCCTGAAGTTTTATGCTAAATGCTGTGTGAATGTACCTTTTTTCCCCAGGGGAGAAAGTCTAGTTTGCCTCACATTGTCAGAATGGTTCATGACCCTAAAATGACTAAGAATCACTGGATTACAGAATGCATTCTCATGCTTAGTTGGCTTTGTAATTGCTGTTTAACAAATACTGAGTGCCACCAAGAGGCAGCCTTAATATGTTTTTTGCTTTTTGTCTTATTGAGTTTCTAATTTAAAGTGAAATTGTAACCCTGTCTAAATATGTTTCCCTGCCCCCTTCATTGTTGTATGTTTTCACAGTGCATCTTAACAGAAGATGGTAACCAGCACGTATATAAGAAGCTCTGCCTGTGTGCTGGAGCTAAACCAAAATTGATATGTGAAGGAAATCCTTATGTATTAGGAATCCGTGATACAGACAGTGCTCAGGTAACATTTTAAGGTTGGGTTATGGGAAGGGAACACGAAGACTAAAGCAGTACAGTGGATTCCTTAGACTTGTCTACATTAGAATCAAAGTGTTCTACTTATGTTAATTCCTATACTGCAGAAGGAGAAGAGAGGTTTTTGTTTCATGATCCATAAACCAGAAACAGTTCTCAAGTAGTTATAATGTTTTATTACTTCCAATCTCAGTTTGTTTTTAGTTGATAACGTATCTTGTTACTTTATTCATGCTGCTGTGAATTATGAGATGTCCCAGATGTAATGATTGCATTGAATGTTACAATTCATAATACGCACATATATATTACTCTACTTTGATTGGGAGTATGTGATCTGCAACATAAATAATGTAATGATCTTTTTCCAAAAAGGGAAAAGCATATCCAAAACTCCCAGCAAAGAAATTAATATTCAAAAGATGCACGATCTTTGTGGTATGGAATCATGATAGAATCATAGAACTGAAAAAGTCACTTGGTTTATTGCTCCACCGTACGATAGTGATAAACTATCCCAATCAGGTGAAACTTCTGTATATGAAACCCTGTAAACTTCTTTTGGTTAAGTTATTTCAGGATTTATTAACTATTATTGTCAAGAAACTCTTCCTGGTTTCCAATCAGGATACTTTGTCTTACCTCAAGCTTGTTGTTTTTGTTCAGCCCCAAGAGGTGATTTTAGATTCATATAAATAATATTCTACATTCTTGAAAATTGATAATGTTTTCCTTCAGCCTGTTCATGTCTTAATTGATTAAGAATTTAAAGAAAAACTGAAAGAACTTGATTATCTTGTAAGTATTTTAGGTTCATAGTATCAAAAATAGTCATCAAAGATTGAGCACATAACTGTGTTCCAGCTGGGCCCTCTACATACATGAAGTCCCTGAATCCTCACAGTAACCTTGTGTGACAGTTATCACTCCCAGTTTACCAATAGGAAACAGATCGAGAGGTTAAGTAATTCGCCTGTACTGAGGTAGCTCCTGAGTTTATCACAAGTACAATTTAAACTCATTGCTGTTAGCTCCACGGCCACTGTTTTTCATGGATTTCCTTCACTTGTTCACTGCTCTCAAGGAAGACCAACTAAAATTAACTTCAATTTTTCTTTCTTGTAGAATTTTAAATAGTCTATTTCAGTGGTGATTTATTGAAAATCACAATAAGATTTAGGGTCATTGTAATAGAAATGGTAACTGCATAGTAAGAGAAATGTAGTTGTTCACATGTCATCCAGAAACAATTGGATTATTCCGTACTTTTAAAGGAGCCAGAAGAATGACCATAGGCTTCTCTAAGCTCGTTGTGATTTTTTTTTTTTTTTTAAATATATAATGACATATAAGGCAAGGAAAATCAGAGAGGCATTGCAATGAAGGCAAGTTGGGATGAAACACAAAGGGGAACATTTATACAGATTTTCCCCGCTATCTGAAAGTAGTGTTCCTATGAAACCTTTCGTAAACTGGAATGGCATAACGCAAAGAAGCAATTACCATTAATTTATATGGGAAAAAATTTTGAGCATTCCCAGACACCAGAAATAACCTACATCCAGTTTTATGCTAAGTGTAACACCCTTATGAGCGCTGTCACGCTTTTCTGATACCTGAGGACACATCTTTCTAATAGAGGAACAAAATAAACAAGCACAGATGCTCACAGACACAGTTCAGAGTTACGGCAGCTTGATGCTGAGTGTCATTCCCAGGAAGGAGCTTGGCGAAGCCACTAGTTGCTCGGGGCGCTCATTGCCACTTTAACAGCTCGCTGCAAAACAAACGCTGAACACTATTTCTGCTTTTTGCCTTTTTTCGTAAAAGTGAAAATCCTCTTTGGATTTCTTGCCATTAGCGAAAACAGCTACTAATTTAGGTCTTTTGTGGAAGCAAAGTGTTGTAAAATGAACTTTCAAAAAGCAGGGGATACTTGGAATGTTAATTGGGAGGGTACATCCTGGCAAAGTAGATTTATTTTTTTATTCCTTTATAAATTAGATAAAAATACTTTCTAGAACATTATCAGTGAAGCTTCTTCAGCTATTGCCCACTATTACAAAATACTATCTCATTGTTTTATTTCTAATACAGGAATTTCAGAAACAGCTCACTAAAGCTAAGAGAATAATGGTCATAGGGAACGGTGGTATTGCACTGGAGTTAGTGTAAGTATGTATTTTTAAATATTATTTACAAATGACTCTGATTCATGTGATTATTGGCAGACTAGAAAACATCTTGATAGCCTGAAAATAAAAGATAAATACAGTTTTCAAAGAGAAAACCCCACTTTATTGTTTAGCTTTCATGGAATCCATAGTTGCAGGGATTTTCTTATAAAGCCTTTTAGGGAATGCTTTAGACCTGTGGTGGCTGGCCAGATTTGTTCCATTGCTGTGTTTTATAAGCATGTAGTGTTTTAAAATAACTGTGTACACTATTAGAGATTTGTAGTCATAGGCCCTGCTGCTTTTACTACTCACATCCATCCTGCTTGACTCATTTATGGCCCATGAAAACATGAGTACTTGTGACTCCTGTTTTAGGATATGTGATACTCCCAGCTGTTGGTTTGGGAAGAATGAACAAACTGTTAATATGAAGTATTTTCATCTTAGTCTGTTTCGAGTTTGAAAAACTTCATCTGCAGAGCGTTGGTTCACTTACCTTTGTGATGTTATCTTCCTTTGAATGGCTGTTGTGGAATAGTCTGGGCATTCTTCAGGCCAGAAAGTTGGGTCAGGCCACAAAGAGGACAAATTTGTATCAAAATAAGGAATCTGTCCAAGCCCTATTTTTGTTAACTTTCATCCATCCCAACTCTCAGACTTAAGTTTTTGCCCCTCTCTTTTAGTAGATGGTCAGTCCCAGTGGAAGCCTGTAAGCATTCTTAAATTGCCTGAGTACTAGGGGTGGCAGTTCATCATTACTGTGATTATGAAGTCTGTGGTATTGTACTGAGAAATGGAGAGAGAAGATCAGAGTCAAAACTAAACTGTGGGCCAACAGCAGGAAGGTGCAGATGTATTGTAAGAGGGCTTCAAATCCTTGTGTACACGTGACAGATTTTCTCCATTGACTATAACCAAAAGTATAACTTAATATTATTATAATTATTTACACTTAAAAGCTTTCTAATGTTCAAAAATGTCTAAACTCAACATTTAATCCTATTCATTTTCCTTTTATTTCTGTTATATCTCTTCTTTCCAAGTGCAGGTTAATCCTTTCTTTTTCAAACATAGTTTTTCATAATTTCACAAAACTGTAATACCTCACTGTTGTCTGTGCATAGTGCTGACAGCACAGTATACATTAGGGTGAGAGGATTAGAGGATGTTCTATGAGGCAGAGCAAGTACAGGAGTTACTTGTAGTGGTTACTTATAACTGTGGCCTGTCAGTCATCAGTATTTTAAACTACACTGATATGTTTAATACTGTTAGATTACTTTAAAATGTGAAAGATGGTAGTAATAGAGGAATTTCCAGTTTATAAAAATTAAGGGAAGCATTTCATGATCACATTATGTATATTGGAAACCCTGATGGTATTGTGGTTAAGTACTACGGCTGCTAACCAAAAAGTCGGCAGTTCAAAACTGCCAGGCGCTCCTTGGAAACTCTATGGGGGCAGTTCTGCTCTGTCTAATAGGGTCACTATGAGTTGAAATCAATTCAATGGCAACGGTTATATGTATATTGAAATACAAAATTGATTACCAAATGTGTGTATACAGGTAGGCCCTGATTTAGGACTGGGTTCTGTTCTGATGATTGTTGTAAGTCGGTTCTGACGTAAATCGAGTACCTCTCTCTTTTTTTTTTAGTTTTCATTATTATTGCCTTTTATTATCAATGTCTTTATAAATATGATCTTTGAACATCTGTGGGTGAACATTTGAGGATAACATCAGCAAATAACACACTGCAACATTGTACGTAGTACATATTACTAATGATAAGACGTACAAAAGGTCATAAGGGCGGTTCATCGTAACTCAAATACATCGTTAAGTCGGGGACTACCTGTATTCTACTTCTTGCTGATTTGCAATGATATATAATCTGAGCAACATAAAATAGAATGTTCTCCAAATAATTTGAGATTTAGTGACTGTAAATGTTCTTTTTTGGCAAATAGAAGAGCAGCAAAAATAAAAGCTAATTGGATGAAGCGAGGGGTTTCTTTACCATATGCTGAAAAGCACAAACATAAGGTGACCTGCAGTCAGATCTACTAAGCTTCCTTTTTTCTATCATCTACTTATTGATGAGCCTTGAAAAGTCATTTAACCTGTATTGTATTGGGCTGTGAAATAAAGATGGCAGTATTTTGTACCAGAAATAAATGTTAAAAATAAAACATTAATGCACTGTTGTAAGTTCAAATAAAAGCCTATTATAGTTAGGATGACCAAATGTCCTGTTTGTCCAGGATAGTCCCAGTTTACACCAGTTGCACCCAGTTATCAATAGCAGCTAGTATAGAATTAGCCCACTAATTATAACAGACTTCGGGGGGAGGGAGGGATTTGTGAGATAATTATCGTTCAGAAAGCCACATTCTCAGTGTTCAAACCTAGATATAAAACAGCAGGTGCCCAGGAGCTCTGGCTAGATCATTAACAATAACAGAAGGTGGCTTATATATATATACCATGACCATTCCTAGCTTCCTCTAAGATCCTTGATCTTTCTGTGAACTAGCGTTTTCTTTGGCTAGTTCGTTTGGAACTTCTGAGATGAAAGGAATTGTGAGGTAATGGTTTCTTTATAACAAAGTTAAGATTTTAGTTTAAAACACTCACTCTCTCCTTTTTCTGTCCCCTTCCAGAATGTGTTTTGAGTATATAAACCATTTGTTACCAAACTAGTGAACATTTCTCAATATTGTTGCTATATTCCGTTCATCCATCTATTATTGGTTATATTGTAACCAGACAAACAAAACATTGTTTACTACTGAGGAACCTGGGTGACATTGATATAATAGCTGTGTTGTGGAAATTGAATATTTTTAAATGATATTCATTGTGATGAAATTTTACCTAATGTTCAATACATGTATTAGTCCCTTCTAGTAAACTGGTTAAATTTCTTTTAGTATTTATTCTATTTGTAACTCTTATTATCTGTTTATAATCGTTCTTTCCCAGTTTGCCTTAAAATAATTTCTTCACTTTTGCCTCAGTAGGTAATTGTTATTTAGATGCAAATATTTCTTCTTGGACTGTTAAAACTACTGGAAGTAATGTTAATTAACCTTTTAGGTATGAAGTTGAAGGCTGTGAAGTGATTTGGGCTGTAAAAGATAAGAATATTGGAAATACATTCTTCGATGCAGGAGCAGCAGAATTTTTTACTTCAAAGCTCATTACTGAAAAATCAGAGGCTCATGTTGCACATAAGAGAACCAGGTACACAACTGAAGGTAAAGATAGCATCTGACTTATTAATTCACAGATGAAACTTCCCTTTTTACAAGAAAACTTAGCAAAATATTATTTTAGGAGATAGAAAGGTGGGTGATATTTATTTCTGTATCCTTGGATGAATTTTTTAGATTTTCTAGAACATATATGTTTTTATGCAAAATATGTATAAGTAAAACTGGAAACTTTACGTGATTTAAAATAAACCAGCCCATCTGCATATTTGCAATATTTGCGATAAGACGCTACAGCTAGGCAGCACTTAAGGTAATTTTATGAAAAATGCAGTGAGTTGAAAAATTAATACAAGCCTCACAGTTTCACAGTTTTTAAGTTTGTAAGAGCTTTTTTTTTTTTCTTTTTTTTTAAACTTTCGGCATATAAAATTCAAGAGTTTTTTAAGTTTTGGGGGGTGCTAAAAGTTACAAAATTTTGAAAATGTGATGGCTGTTTTCTTTCCCTTCACATTAACCACTGTATGTAGCATCCATAAAATATGTTGTGTTTGTATTCAGCACTCAATTAAAATATTGATCATCTTACAGCTCTCCATCACAAAACAACAAATAAAGTCACTGATACAGATAATTTAGTCATCCTATATGAGAATCATTACATTACCTAAAAGCTTCAGAATGTAGGTGTAATTCTCTGCCTGGCAATTTGTATTACATCATTTGAATTTTGAATTGATTTTATCTCCTCAGGAAAGAGAAAGGAAGCAAAAACCAAAGCTAAGGCTAGTAATGTAGGCAGTGCCTTGGGACCTGATTGGCATGAAGGCTTGAATCTTAAAGGAACAAAAGAGGTATGTTTTCATATGCTGATTAAGCATATCTAAATGCAGTTTTAAATCTTGAACTGTGTGATAAAGACTGGTTAAAAATAGAGTCAAAGAATTGCTAGGTCTCTTTATTTAAAATCTGTAATGCTAGGAAAGGACTTCAGAGCCACTTGGCCCAGTTACCCACCAAAGACAGGTGAATATCAAATTCATCTAAAACTGTTTCTCAGTCTTCTTTTTATAACTCCCCAGGTATAGAGACCTCCATACCCAGGTTACAGTGAATACACCTGTCATATTTTATCTTTTCTCAAAGGTCACTTCAGATACATGTAAACTTGAAATATTTTAACAGTTTGGAGTCCCTGGGTGGTATAAATGGTTAACACTCTCAGCTGCTAACCAAAAGGTTGAAGGGTCAAGCTCATCCACTGGCACCTCATAGGAAAGGCCTAGTGATCTACTTCCAAAAAATCAGCCATTGAAAATTTTAGAGCATACTTCTACTTTGATACACATGGGGTCGTCATGACTTGGAATTGACTCGATGGTAACTGGAACAAGATGGATTCTAAATCAGAGACACCCTTAATATCCTAAGTGACTATAAACAGATGACTTGTTTTTACTCCTTTTAATTACTTAATATTTTAATAGCTGTTAAAAGGCTATGATATTTAAATATTTTAAGAGTGCATACATGCAGTCCTTCATTACTGTGTATTATGTCTTTAGAGGTTTTCAGCCTTTCAGGTAGATGGGAGGGGACTGGCTTCATCATTTATCTACTTTCTGCCATGCACATTGTATAAAATGATTTCTTTCTGCCCCCTCAGATCTTAAGATTAGTAGTATTTTTAACCTGAAAATTTCAACAGCTTACTAGCACTTCACTAAGGTTTTGGGATACAACAGTAAGTTGACATGGCTGTACCCTCCGGAGGTTTTCATAATTTGTAACAGTTGTGATTAAATATATGCATTTTCTGTAATTATCTGTGAGGCTTAGAATAAAAAGTATAGCCTTGGTACTACGTACCAAAGAATGTACTAAATTTCAAGTACTAAATGAATTATTGCTTATTCCTTTCCTGCACAGAAATTTAGAGGCTTGTTTTAGGGCATCCAGTATATTGTCATTTGGACCACAGTGAAACCTGTGAGAGCTGGAACTCGAAGGGACTGCCTTGTTTTTCTGGGTCTCGCAAGGTTTCTGCTCTTGACAGGGTGCGGTCTTACCACTTTTCAGTCATTCTTAGTAGAAAATATTAGAGTTATCCTTCTCTGACAGGTTTCTGCCTTCCAAAGTTTCCAACTTTCATAGGTTTTACTGTGTAAGAATTACTTTTTGTATATATTATTTTCTACAAGTGTATTATAAATTTCTTATTTATTATCCAACCCAAGTCATTCTCTCTGGAAGTATGATGGTGACCAGTATTTCTTTAATTTAGTTTTCTCATAAGATTCACATTGAAACCATGTGTGAAGTAAAGAAAATCTACCTTCAGGAAGAATTTACAATTTTGAAAAAAGAGTCCTTGATTTTTCCAAGAGACCATCATAATAAGTTGGTTAAAACAACCGATAAAGGTAAGTAACGAAACAAGAAAAATAAACAACCACTTGTTTAAAAGAAGAATGTAATTTTGCTATATTATATTTAAAAACTTTGTTTCCATATACAATCTAAATATGAAGAGACAAAATAAAACCATAGCTTAATAATATGTCATTTCATTTTCACAACTTATTCTTAGGGCTTTACATTTTGCATACGGCTCATGGTGTTTTAACCATCGTAAGTGAGTCAATCACAGTATCTTACAGACTAAACCCAAGCAAAACAAACAAAAATGTTTAAGACCTGAAGCTTTTAGAGGTGAAATAACTTCCCCAAAATCAAACAGAAAAATATATAAATTTAGGATTAAGACACAGATCTCCTAACTCCACCTCCTGTGAAAACTACATCATTTGAAGAAATACACTCATACACTCATCCAGACTGGTATATGAGACATTTCACTGTTCTGAAGTCTGAATTTTTCCACAGGAAAGGGAGTGTTAGAATTTGATTATGAATAATGAGGAAAAAATACTGAAAAATGAATAACTTAGTTGGACTAAACGCTCAGTAAAGTATAACCATAAGTAAAGATTTTTAAAGAAATAATTTAGAAAGGGATTAATGATTTAAATTTACTTTGTTAAATAGCATTATGTCTAAATTTGATGGAATAACATTTAGAATGCTGTAGGTTTATAATTAGAACAAAAACAAGGAGATGATATTTTCTACACTAAAAAATGGTTTGCTGTGATTCAGGAAAGTTTGTAAAGCACAATTAGTTTAAGATGAATGAATGAGTAAAAAGTGTTTTAGCAAATGTACTTTGTAAAAATTAAGTAGAGTTGTTTAATCTCGTTTGCCTGGTTTTTAGTCATTATGGTTTCTAGTAATACTGTGGACATCGTTGATGGTGATTATATTTGAGAATAAAGTCTTTAATTTTTTTTTAAGAGATGTGGCCAGTATATGTGGAATTGACCAATGAAAAGATATATGGCTGTGATTTCATTGTCAGTGCTACAGGAGTTACACCAAATATAGAACCTTTTGTCCATGGCAACAATGTAAGGAAAATTTTTTGTTCAGCTATAGATATTTTAAAGTTTTAATTCTTTATGGAGATCTCTAATTCTCAAGCATGAATAATTATTGTTTTAGTACAAAACTATAACTGAAGATGGCCAAAAACAATATAGTTATATTCATGTCTTGATTTTCAGTATCTTTCACTGTTTAAAATTCTTAGGCAGTTAATACCCCAACATAAGTGCCATCATTAATGGGACATAATGCACAATTCATTTATCTAAAGGTTGATAAGAGACTAACACTGCCTATAAATTCTTAAAAATGATTCTTTTAGAGAAACCATCTTGCATTATTTGCTTTCTAGCATTCAAATCTTATTTTAAAAAACCAAAGGAATAGTCTTGTAATTATGGGTGAAGTAATCAGATGGTTATTAGGTGTTCTGATGTTGAAATTCTAAGAATTATATGAGTCTGTCTGCCTAGGAATTTGATTTGCTGAAAATTCAGCTTAGGTGTCTAAACTTTGCAGCTGTTTTTCACTTTCTAATTAAACATCAGAATACCAAGGTGTAAACATTTGACTTGTTCTGTTACTTTAGAATGAAAAAATCGTATTTCATTTTTCTTACCACTTATGTTTATGAGGAACATTGTTTAGTTTAATCTAGCACAAGATGGTGGCCTGGAAGTGGATGATCATATGCACACGTCGCTTCCTGATATCTATGCCGCAGGTGATATCTGCACTGCATCTTGGCACCCAAGCCCGGTCTGGCAGCAGGTAAGCCAGCCCATGTGATCACGTTTTTATCAGAGATCCCATCGGAAAATAAAGCTGATGCTACCAGCAAATCCAACTTTCTAGTTTTCAGTGCTTCTCTAAGTAGGAAGCAATCAAAGAATTGTTAAACATTGAAAAAATTTTTTTAAACAATTTTTCCCTTTCTAGTAAGTTATTATGTAGTGGTGTATAGACTAGGATATCTTTTAACTTAACAAGAATTACGGGCTGTTACTTTTTCTCCAGTGCTGTATCAGCACTGTCTGGTATAACTTTCTGTGATGATGGCGATCCTCTGTAATTCTGTGTTGTCCACTATGGTAGCCACTAGCCCCATGTGTCTCTTGTGCACTTGAAATGTGGCCAATCTGAGTGAGGAACTGAATTTTTAATTTCACTTCTTTTAGTTAATTTAAATAGCTACATGTGGCTAGTGGCTACCATACAGGACAGCGTATCTTTAGATCACTAAAAAACAAAACAGACTACCAAGATCATAAACCATATAGATAAAGCATTCTGTTCCTGATGACCCTCTTCTCTTCCTGTGGGAATTATTACTGAAGGATGTTCTTACAGTGAGCAGCCTTCCTCAGCCTTATGACCCCTGTGAACTGGATTTTGCCTTCCTCCTGCCCTCACAGTGTTGCCAACCTCCTTCTAACAGTGGAACAAAAATACTTGAAGAAGATAATCATAGACAACAGCCCATACGTGCAGGGTAGAATAGAAGCATAAGTAGAGGTTACAGATAAAAGAACCAGCCAACACTTAACTTTGTTAAAGACTAGCTCCTCACATTAAGTGTAAATCGAGTGTGAAGTAGTGGAAGAGCTAAATGTATTTAAAGAGACAGCTGTACTCTTGTATGTGTGTGTGTTTTACATACAGCAGAGACATCATCAATAACAAGAGAGTGCCTTCAACCTGTTTAATTTTTTCTAAAATGCTTCAGAGTAGCTTTTTTTAGTCTTTTCTGCAATCTACCTTATGTCCTTCCTGTGGCTTAACTGTCAACAAATTCTCAGCTAGAAGTTAGTATTCATGGAGCTTTTTTATTTAACATTTTAATCCCCCCAGGATAAATTATATCTGTAATTTATGTCATTATTTGATATAGGGAAAAAATATCCAAAAATAAAAGACTCTTTGAGTGAATCCAGTAGACCCCAATTTGCAGAAGCAATAAAGACACTACGTTTCACATAGTTCAAGATGCAAACTCAAGGGATTTTGAGGTTAGAATCTATTAGGTAATGGCCTAGCAGTGTGATATTGTGAGCCACTTCTGTTAACCATTCTTTATTTGGTCTCTTGCTCACTTTACTCTGCTCCCTTGCCATAGACAGCCTCTCACCTTCATCAGACTACCTTGTTTACAAAAAAGGAAAACTGAATGAAAAATAAAAATCTATCACTCTTACTAGAAATGTTCAAAGCTCATGTCCATGATGATGTTATTTTTACACATAAAAAAGACAGATTAGGTACGTATGTACACACACAGGGGTAAAAGAAAACTAATCGCTTCCTATAGGATAACCTGTTTAATTCTGCCCATAGCCAAGGAGTAAGTGGTATTACATTTATCTTTCAGGTGCGAAAACCGAGGCTCGGAAAGTTTACATAACTTGCCCCAATGCTCTTAGCCAACGTATAGGAGAATGGATACTCAAATTTATGTGACTCCCAAGGTCACTATTCTGTTACACCAAGAAACCCCAAAATTCTGTAAAAATACAGTAGAAGGGAAATTAATACTATTGTATAGAAAAATTTAAATAACTGCCCACAACCAGTTGCTGAAATCTCGTATGATGTCTTGGGACGGGGCGCTAACTTTCTAGTGTCTAAAGATGAGGGTTACAGGCAATAGAATAAATTTTTCACTGATAGTTTGGCATCTCTGTTAATGCTCATAATAAACTTCCGGGGGACTGGTGTAATAAAACTGTGTTCTCACCTGTTGTAGCCTGAGATAGTCTAGTAATACTTAAATAAAAATTGTATTGAAATGGATAATTGATGAGTGCCATCCTTTAATTTTAGAGGCAGTAATTTTTATAGATTAACAAATGCCAAAATCAGTTTGGTTGGTTTGAATTGGTGAGTGCTTCTATGACAAAGATGAATAATGGCTAAATACAGTTGATCTCAAGTATTGTCAGACACTGAACCCCGTTAAAGGAACTTACAAGGTTAAAGTGATAACATTTTTTAAATAATGATAATGAAAAATGATACTGCATCACATTTTTTACTTATTTCAGATGAGGCTGTGGACCCAGGCAAGACAGATGGGATGGTATGCAGCCAAGTGCATGGCTGCAGATAGTTTAGGAGACTCTATTGACATGGATTTCAGCTTTGAACTTTTTGCTCATGTAACAAAATTTTTTAACTATAAGGTAAGATCAGCAAATTAATGCCTTTTTTCTGCTTGTTAGTCTTGTAACCAAATATGATAATCTAACTTTCTCACTAGAATAAAAAATTATATGGTTTTAATTAATAGTTTTATAAAAAATGAACTATCATTTCTTTAAAGTCAATACCTTGGTATTATTGCTGGTCTTAATTCCTAATCATCTGATAATCACTACCCATCTTCACAGTACACTACTTTTCAGTTAAGGGGGAAAAAAATCTCTCCAGATTTGTTCCCTTTTGCTACATTTCTAAGTTTTATTTGAGCTTCATCCTTTCTTTGTTGAGGGGAACTAACAGCTATCACACACAGTGAACCGGGAGCTTTCATATACATTTTATTCTCTTTATATTACTCTGAGGCAGGTTTTTTCTTGCTAATTTAGAGATAAGGAAAATACATAGACAAACATATACACAGAAGGCTGAAGGAGATCAAGTAATTTGCCCATGAAAGATCTAACTCTGTTCCTTATTAAAATCTTTAAACCATGACTCCAGGCTAATGTATATAGTCTGTAACCCACCTGTTTATCTAGTCACTAGATATTTTTAATATTCATATAGATTGTGTGGTGGTATCATCTGTAGAATGTACTCACTAGAAATTTTTAATGTCTCTGTACATCATGTGGTAGTGTTTAGGACTCTCCACAGTGACATTTTTAGCTGTAAAATTTTATAAATAGATTTTTCTGTTGGGTATTATAGCATAACACAAAATACCATATTATGTTTCCTTTTTAGTACTCAACTACACTATCTTTTTCTATCCTTATACATAGGTTGTATTACTGGGAAAGTACAATGCGCAGGGTTTAGGTTCAGATCATGAATTAATGCTGAGATGTACCAAAGGACAAGAATACGTCAAAGTCGTCATGCAGAATGGACGGGTGATGGGAGCAGTCTTAATTGGTGAGACTGATTTGGAAGAAACATTTGAAAACCTAATTCTAAATCAGATGAATCTTTCATCATATGGAGAAGATCTGCTAGATCCAGATATTGATATAGAAGATTATTTTGACTAAAACAGGCATTTCAAGAACCACATGAACTTCCAAATAAGAAAGAAATTCCAAGCCAGTAAATTGAATGACTGTAATGATTTAATGATGAGTACACTGAGGTTAATTCAGAAGTGATAATGATTTTAGTGGACAAATACAGGAAAATAAATGTCTAAGGACAAAATCAAGTATTTATGTGTATTTTTTTAACATAAAATTGACCACTTACTGTATGAGAAATCTTATATTACTCATTTCTGTGTTTTAAACTGAAACATGTCATTTGTGATTTAGATTTGCAGCAAATTGGTGCTTATCTGCTTAGCCAGAATGTATTGTAGTAGACTAGAGTCATTCTCTGTTGAAGATTTTGAGATATCAAAATAGGACTGTGGTTTTAAAAACTTAAATAGTTTTATTCTACTCAAATAGAGATTGTAGCAATATCTTATTCTTTAATTCTGTATTGATTATTCCTTTACTGTTTGGATTCTACAGCTGTTTTTATAACCTGAAATCATCCACATTACTCAGCTTAAAAGTATCACTTCAAGTGATAAAACATAAAATTTACAGTATAATAATACTGCTGTCAAAAGATTATTGTGTCAAAAGAAAAAAATAAACTAGGAAAATCCAGGCATAATGAGCTTAAGATAGTTATGTGAACTTATTCTCTTACGTATTTTACATTAAAAAAAATTTTTTCCCCCTTATTACATACTATAAAATTATAGTGGTAATTCATGATCTCAAATTTTTAAAAAATGTACAATTGTTCAGTACCTCAGAGACAAGCCCTGAAAGTATAGATTTATCATATATATAAAATATTAATGTAATTATCCTAAAACTTAAGCTTTTGATTAACTACAAAAATAATAGTGTATACATGCATAAACTTCTTTTCTTGGAAAATTTAGTAACACATCTCAGACATCATCAAGTTTTCTTTTCTTAGCTCCTGTAGCCTTAGAATCAGATTGCTGAAGCATGTTTGCAGACTTCTGGAAGTTCCCTGATTTTTTTTCTTGCCTCTTTCTATCAGCTTGTTCAGAATGACAAGTTTGAGATGATTCAGCCTGCAAAACAATAATGAAGCAAGTACCCTGGTAAAAATTCAGCTATTCGGTTTTCTTGAGATTAATAATGTTAAAATATTTATATCAGTTAGCTCTTTAATGATCTATTTTTGTATATTCAAATTTCTACTGAATATGAGTCTTACCCACCTATTGAATAGAAGGGGCTATGGTATGCTGTCAGAAAAAAACCCTAAAGAATATCCCAAGTGTCCTTAGACACAATGATAAATGGCATGATTTTGCAGGCTTGCTAGTATATGGTTTGTAACAGTGGTTTCCATCCTCTGGAGCTATACAGGCAGACTTCTCAACCAGTACTCATCACAAGATTAAACATTAAAATGCAGTCCTTACATTCAAAGTTTGGAAACCCCTAGTCTATCTTAAAAGGTCTCAGTTCTTCCACTTAGTATCTCTACAGCAAACAAAGGTTATTTTTCTTCACACACAAATCTAAGAAAAAAAGTAAGTGACTTATCTCTTCTCATATTCAACTGGATCTGGGAAAGTACTAGTTAAAGGAAAACCTCCTACAGGCATTAGAAATATATACAGAAATAGAAAACGAATAGCCAGTCAGTTACCCTGAAACAGCTTTGTGTAGGCTTCTTTACTTGCATGGTAATAACATGTGCCTCATTGTTCAGAAGATTAGCTTTAGGTCCTATTTTCAAATAGGAAATGGTAGCATAAGCTGTAAAACTGTAGTCTTCTCTGCAGAAGATAGAATCAACAATCAGGTTTTGAAGGAGTTACAGACCACCAAAAAAACTGAAATTTATAAAAGAAAAATAATTATATGTACAATAATTTTAAGTAACAACACTGATGAAATAAGAATAAAACATACTGTAAGAATGTGAATATATCTTTATAGATTAGTGCTTTTATGACTTAGAAGTGATCATTTAACCTTCCGTTTGCTTATTATATAAATTTTTTATAGCATTTAAAAGTTCACATGAAACAACTGCAAACTCATTTATTCTGTTGCAGTTTTAAAAAATCAGAAGAAATGTTACAGACAGCACAAAAGGACAGGAAATGGGTTGGTGTATACTTAAGATACTGATGTAGAAGAAAGTGCGCAATAAGTTTCTCCAGGTCTTCACGAGGAAGTACAGGAGGAGCAACACCTGCTACTCTCAATTTTGCTGCACCCTTTCCCATCCAAGAATCAATCAGTTTCAGCGGAGTTAACTTTTCATTCAGCTCCTCTGCCTGCTTCAAGATCTTGATTAGATCTCTGCAGTACTCTGTTATATTCTTTCTATCAAATGCTATAATAAAAAAGACATGGTACAAGCAATTAGAATTTAGAAATGAGGGCAAGGAGAGGCTATCCTAGTGGTTAAACTGTTTAAAACTAGTCATCAATGTGTGAGCCACCCTCAACACTGATTTGCTAATGTGTTATGAATTAAGACTAAACTATTCCTCAAGTCTATCAGTAGATCAAGTTACAGTCTCTGTCAGACACTGAGATTTACACTGGTATGACAAAAATAATAACCTAGTTTTCCAAAGGCCTGTGGTATGCACTAGGACCAGGGAGTATCTGCCAGACATGATTATAACAGTTACTAAAATGTGTGCTTTATAGGCCAGCCAGTCTATTCTTCACACTTTCTTATCTGATTTGTGCTAATTAAGCAAAATTCTGAAAACTAGTATGGTACTAGGTACTCTGATTTAGAGACAAGAATGTCCTGGACAGATATCCCCAATTATTCATTAAGAGATTAGCACTCTGATTTATATATCAGACCCTTGTTAATTTCATCAGCATGAAACAGTCTAATACATTAAACTCATAAATAAGTTTCTTCAGCTGCAAAGTTGAAACCGTAGTGACCTCCACCCACTGAGACATAAGAACTCAGTGAGGCCTTGCATGAAGAACTAGTTAGTCCTGCTCTTCAAATACAACGCATGTACAGAGGATAAAAAAGTTATACCACCAAAACATGGCTAAGTTAGTGTCTTGTGAGCAGTCAGTCATCATCTGGGTCAAATACGATTCACTATAATCTCTCTTTTGCAATAAAATTCCTCTTCCCAATCAGTGGCTATATTAGAGATTATCACAAGGTTACACTTTTCTTATATAAGTAACATTTCTATTCAGGAATTTAAAAATTTTCTTCATTTCTTAAAAATTCCATATGCCCTCAGTACAGCAATATAAAATATCTACATACACATATGCCTTTTCCGTTTATTCACCTTTGTTTCAAAACTGTGTGGTTCCTTTTAAATCTGGAATATTCTAATTACACCTTGCTTAATTTTTTAAAGCCATCTTGGGGTCTAGATATTGTCTCATGTAGTCCTGTCCTAGCTATATATGTATATTAGCCTATAAAGGTTTTAAAAACTGAACTCACAAATGTCTTTACAGCAGTTATCACACATTTTGTTACAAGCATCTGAGTTCCATACTTCATCAAAATGTCGGGCTATCAACACACGACGACATCTGAAAACATATTTAGAGATAGAGATTATTAAATGATCTAATTCAGTTTTAAGAAACCCTGTTTCAAAATACAGCATTATATATTATATTAGTTTCCTACTGTTGCTATAACAAAATTACCATAAACTGAATGGCTTAAAATCTATTTATTATTTTATAGTTCCGTAAGTTAGAAGTCTGACATGGGTCTGTCTCGCTGGCATTTCTTCTGGAGACTGCAGGGAAGAAATCTGTTTCCTTGCTTTTTTGCAGCTTCCAGAGACTTCCTGCAATATTCCTTGGCTCAGGACCCCCTTTCTCCATCTTCAAAGCCAGCAAAGGCAGGTTGAGGCCTTCTCGCATTGAGTAACTCCTACCTTCTCTTCTACCTCTTCTTCTACCTTTAAGAAACCTTGTGATTACATTGGCTTACCTGGATAATCCAAGATAATCTCCCTACTTTAAGGTCAACCGATTACATCTGCAACCTTAATTCTCTTTTGCTTACAAATTGCTGCAATTAGAATGTGGACATCTTTGGGAGGGCCATTATTCTGCCTACCACATGTAATATAAAATGTTTCTTCCATATGCCCTTGATAAACATTGCTTAAGAAGTTATCTGAGTTTCATTTTGAGATTCAATATTTTACAACCATCAAGAGAATCAGAAAGCAGGGAGTCCACTGGGCTTTTAAGAAAATTTTTGTTTTCCCATTTCTTTAATGAGATTATTGTAGCATCTATAGGAAAGGAAGAAGCCCTGGTGGCAAAGTGGTTAAGCACTCAGCTGCTAACTGAAAGGCTGGCGGTTCAAACCCACCAGCTGTTCCATGGGAGAAAAATGTGGCAGTCCGCTTCCATAAAGATTACAGCCTTGGAAACTCTATGGGGCAGTTCTACTCGGTCCTATAGGGCCGCTATGAGTCAGATTTGACTTGGCGGCAATGGGTTTAGTTGGGTATAAAAAACCCAAAAACCCATTGCAGTCAATTCCGACTCATAGCGAACCTATAGATTTTGGTATAGGAAAGGAATGTCTGTATCTTATTACTGTCTAGTTAATTATCATTTCAACATTTTTTGAGCCCTTCTTATGTGATGGACAATAGAGTACAAAGGTGAGTAAGTCCAAAAAGCCATCAGGAAGTTTTGTGTCTAATTAAAGCCACTCTAAATAGATTTAAATTCTTTTTTTTAAGGAGAAGCTTGGCCCTGCCCTCAGTTTCCATTGACACATCAGGTGGTAGGCTGGCATGTTAATGAGCTCAACTCTCAAAATGCCTAGCTTGTCACAAAACAATTCGTGTATAAATTTTTGAATGAAGAACTAATTTTCACTATCAACTTTCACCTAAAACACAATAAAATTAAAATATATATATTAGTATGCATTAAAAAAATGCCTATCTTATTATACACCCTTTCAAAATTATTAAATCATGTAGCTGTCCACCAACTTGAACTGTCAATCTGTATCAAAACCAGCAATAAAAACAGTAGGTTTAAAGGATTATCTCAAAGATAGGCAGATACATGTTTTCTTAGATTAAAGCACATCATACAGCTTCATGTACTGGTTCCTACCCTTCAGGCATCTATCTCCTTTTACAGGTTTGCACTTTGGTGTTACACCAATGTACTTAGTCACTTTAGTAAGTACTCAGTGTTATATGCTTTCATATTTGTGATTGTCTTTAACTGACCAAAGTTATAAAGGAGTGTGGCTTACTTGCTTATGTTCTGACAGTATGACACCATCTCATAAAGTTTCTGTTGTCCCACATTTTCCATCACCACCATTGAACTTATTCTGAATATATCTCCAAAGCCATAATATAAAATACAGTCTGCTTTCATGTCATCTCTACCTGTGGTTTATGAGAAATTTTGAGATTGTATAATCAGTTTAAAAAATTCAAAATATGCAGAAATAATATATGTAAAATTAGCTGGCAGTGCTTCACAGACTATACATACTACATCTAGAAATTCAGACATAGATGTGAGTTAATCTGTAACAGCTGCCCTCAAATTAAAAAAAAAGTTTTATCAGTAATCAGCTTTATTAAATGAAAAAAAAAAGTCTATAAGCAGTCCAGTTATTAGTTACAGATTTTAAACCACTAATTAAAAATTCAGGAGGCAGGGATAGACGTCAAATTTTCCAAGCAAGCATTAAGAAGAAACAAATCATAACACTCCAGTAGAATACGAGTAAAATTTCTCTATATGTTAAGTATAAAAGTACCCCAAAGCCTTCATTATTTGTTCTAAAATGACTATCCAATAAACAAGATTAAAAATACAAAATTATTAAACATCATTTATAGTTTGTTTTCTGGAAGAGCTTTTTTAAAAACTACTTCTGGATTTCAGTGCTACATACCTGCACGTCCACTCTCTTGGTAATAATTCTCCATAGACTTGCTCATTGAATGATGGATAACAAACCTCACATCTGGTTTATCAATTCCCATACCAAATGCAACGGTTGCCACTACTACCTAAAATGTTTTAACATTTTATCTGTTAATTAAGTTTAAATATTTTTAAAGGTAAACTAGGCTTCTGTTGAAAATAGATACTTAACCTGAATTTCATTGGCTGACCATTTCCTGTGAACCTTGGTCTTATCTTCTGGCTCCATATTGGCATGGTAAGCACCTGCATGAATTCCCAAATTCTGTAAACTAACAGTAACTTGCTCAGAGTCTTTCTGAGAAAAACAGTATATGATTCCTGTAATAAAATATGGCCCGTTGTTAGCTATATGTAAGACAGTTCTGGAATTTAATTTTCAACACACACACTCAAGATACTGATTAATAGAATGCATGGGGGTGGGGTGGGGGGAAATTTATAAAAAATCCAAGGCCCTGAGCATATGTTGATTTTTTGGTATAATTTCAGATTTGATCACTAGCTTGCTTTAAAGCAGAAGTGAGTCCTCAACCACCATTTTGGTTCCCATTACCTCTTTTCCTCTCCAACTTTATCTCCTACTACACAGTATTTCTCAAACTGATGTCACACAGCTCCATAGGATGTAAACAAGTGTGCTGTGAAAAAAGAGTTTCATGTGCAAATGAGTTTGGGGAACACTGCATTAAAACAAAGTCAAACAGGCTTCTGTCTTTACTTGCAGAGCTGCTCAGAGCTTATAATGTGTTGAGACACCCTGTGAATCTCCAGGGGGGATAAATAACTGCAGCCTTTCTCAAACTTATTTGACCCTGGAACTCCTTTTACCCAGGACACCCATTAGTATCTCCCGAAAAGCTATACAACAGATTTGAAATACAACTTTTACACTAACTCTTCGCTTCAGTAACACTTTATTCATTAATCCTGGAACACATAAATATGTAGTCTCAACTCCATCTATATAACCCATCCAGTATATACTATTTAATTATTTATCTCTTTAATGGGTCCCTTTATTAAAGGGACTATATTTTATATCCCTTTAGAACTTCAGTGCTTACCCCTCTATCTTGTACACATTGAGAGTACTTACAAAATATGGGCTGCTGATAATTCACATTATCAGGTCTATTCTTTAAAGCAATTACGCATAAATAGGCAAAAATAAATCAGACAATTCTATGATTCTTATCATCTGTGGCACAAGCAGATATCACCCAATTCTAAGATCAACACACGAAATAATTTTATCACAACGTTTTCAAGAATCGTCTGCCATGCATTAATATTTTCGATGTTAGTTATTTCTAAGTACACTGTAATATTAGTTACTGCTTTCTGAAAGTTACCTCTAAGTCTTCAAAGTTGGTTTGTTTTCTCTATTACCTGATTGCCCTTTGTATCTCCTGTTAATGAGCTTCACAATATCCTCAATAAAATCTTCAGTGTTTGAGGGCTTCTGCTGAACCTAAAAAAAAGATACATTATTAAAAAGTAAACTCATGTGTACCATCCAAGTAGCCATTTACTTACAACTTTCAAGGTGCTATTCTTTCCTGAGGGTAGTCATTTTTTTATTTACTCTTTCATTAGCCTCACATAACATCATTGCCACCTCCCACACACTCTTCTTGATCCTTCTTTAATTTACCAGAGATGAGACAGAACCAGTGGATAACTGGTAAAACTGGAGTCTTTTTTTCTTTGATAAAAAACATAAACCACAGCACAAACAACTGTTGAATGAAAACTCAGAAATTTATTAAACCTAGTCTTAAAAGGAATAGAAAAGAGGAAGAAAACATTAGGTTATTCAGCTTTCAAATTTGTATCAAATAAAATCTAAGTAAGTATTAGCAAATTTTTTTATGGCATATTAATATTTCTATTATTTAGTAACTAATTTCAATAGATCATTAGAGTCCTTAGTATCATTCCATCTTTCTCTCCACCCTTGCACAAGCAAGAATGTACATAAAGTTAACAAATATGTGACTTGCTCGTTATCTTTTATAAAAGATAATATCACCAGCAGGGCAATGTCTTCTCTTTACTCTAACAAAGGATTAGGCAGTACAACAGACATAAGAATAAAAGCACTAATTAATGAATCTGCTTATAATACCTCCTGATTTTAAAAGTATTTTGACATAGTTAACTGTTTCTCAAGTACAATAAAGTACAAAGGTAACTGCTCTGCTGAAACCCTTCACAAAAGTAAGAAATGCATGTGAAATGAAATACCTCATAATAAAGATTTGGCCGATGAAAAGAAGCTGTAAACGTGAAACACTTATCAACACACAAAATCTTCTGAGCATCCTTCAAAACATGGCTTGTTGCAGTTGCAGTCAGCCCAATTAGTGATGTGTTCGGGAACTGCCGCTTTAGGATACCAAGGGCCTTATAATCTGGGGGGAGAAAAAGGATACAATGTATCCTCTTTCCATCCTTTAAAGATTAAATTACACCGTTCAACACTATGCAGATAATCAAAGATAACTATAACTTTTTGAATAGGCAGAGTTTATTGTACATATCACTATTTCCTCGGATACACTATTCTTTGCCACAGGTGGGACTCCCTGTTGAAGGGGAGGAATGCCTAAACATTCCACCAACGAATACATTGGTCCACACCTGCTGAAGTGGATTCAAGAGACAGTGGGAGTAGCCATAGTGTCTGAACCTATTACAACTGAAAAGAAAGAAAAGATGCCATCAGTCAAAATCTTTCTACCACCCAGTATCATCCAAGAGTGGCAAGTCCTGGCCAGAAAAGGCTTCGCAGCCTGTGAGCCAGTGAGGCATCACTTCTTACACAGTCTATTTCACAGAAACCATTCTGGGCTCATATTTGTCACACACATCTAAATCACTAGGTAAGTTGTCCTTAATCTCCCTTAAGTACTTAAACTATTCGGAGAGAACTGAAAAAGAAATGTGATAGAAATTGCTGAATGCTATGAAAACATGGAGGAGAAAGTAACTGCTTGGGAAGTTGTGAATGAGCAGAAGTTCACTAGGAAGAGAAGAAAAACATCAGGCAGAGGAAACAGCATAAGCACTGCCCATGCAATGGCATGAACATACTCAGCATGTTCAGAGAACAGCAAGCAGTTCAGTGGGGCTGAACCTCAGAGTGCTGTGAAGGACAGATCTGTCAGCTCTGAAGCTGGGAACTATATTTTCCAGAATCTTCTTCCCTGTATGGTTCTAAGTTAGAGCTGGTCCAAAAAAGGAACTTGCACCAGATTTGGGAGGCTGAAGTCAACCAGTTGCCACTACTCCTTGAAGGACTTTCCAGGCAGATAGGATGGTGGACTTGGTTGTGGATAGGATGGGCTTGCTTGTGTTCCTGTGAATGTCACCCCAGCAAGACTTCATCCCTGCAGCAGCACTGTCTTTATATGGAAAGGAAAATTTTGATTATAGTCAATAGAGGTAACAGGGTTTACTACAGTTAACAGGGTTTATTGGGCGAGAAGCTGTTTGCAAACGGTGAGCATCCAAGCCAATAGTGGCAAGGGCTCATTTAAGCAGCTGGAGTACAGGGGTTTTCAAGGGAATTAGGGGATTTCCAGTACGGAAGTTACAGTGATTGGGTCTTACGTATGCCCTTAATTGAAGAGAGGATCTTATAAAGTGGGAGTCTTTCTGTCATTGGTTTCACGGGATACTTGTCTGATGGAAATTGGTTGTTCCGGTATGGAGTATCAGAAACATTTTTAACTGACAGATTGTTCTTTTTGGAAAGTCTTTGCAGTTAGGACATTTTGAAAACTCTCTATTGTTCTGTCAAGGCACAATTTAGCCATTTTGACTTACTGTTCTCAGAAAGCTTTTGAACCTGGCACAAATGGCCATTAGTTTTATTTAACACTTAACACTTAGTAGCAGGTGAATACAACTGAGAGTTTTTCCAACCTTTGGAGAACCTGCTTCATCTTGGGTCCACACTACCTCCACCACCACTAAGAGACACCAACACCAGGGAGCTGTGTCTCCTCAGAGGTCTAAGCGTCAGCTCCACAGGGCCACTCCTCCAAGTTTCAAATCTGATTCCTACCTTTTCTTTCTGTTCCCGAGTCCTAGGGATAGTTACTTCTTCCAGTTTCTACCTCCATGATACATGAGAGTTTTCTTTTTACTTTTTCAGTTGACTGACTACTTTTTACCTTGTTAACAACGCTTTTATTAAATATTCTGTGTCAAATAACTGGTATGGTTTCTTTCTCCTGACGGGACCTGATACTGATACAGATGATGGCTAAAATTTTGGTATGAGCAAACATGTAAGTGGTGGAATGATTTCTAAGATAAGGGATACTAAAGGCGAAATTGCTTGGGAAGAGGGGGAGGAAAAAGGGGTAAAGCAAGGAGAGAGGAAGAAAATCAAAAGTTATTGGTCAAGATATCTAGTACAGCAAGTGGGTAAACAGTAATTCCCAGTTGCAGAACCGAAGGTAAAAGAGAAATTCTTTTGAGGGGAATTTATGATAGCTTGGCAGCAGACCCACAGAAGCAACATAAGTTAGGGTAATACATAAGCAATGGTAATCAGACCACTCAGAGAAGACAGGGCAAGAATCATGAATAAAATACCTTCAGTAACAAATGTGTAGAATAGTCTGGTTAAGATTTCTGCGTCCTTACCACAGAGTATATTCCCTGCCTAAAGTATTTAAATCAAAATTTAAAAAAAAAAAAACCATGCCCAAGACAATTCTGGAGGTAGAGACGAGTTTACCCATCTTCAGGACACGAGTTTACCCTTCTCTCGGGATGAGTGTGAGAAACGGTAAAGACTGAGATCTGAACCCCAGAGAACACTAATATTTAAGGAGGTAAAAGAAGAGCAAAGTGGGTGAGAATGGAAAAGAAGAAAACTAAAAGCCTTACATCACAGTAGCCAAGGAGAGAGAAAGCAGCCAGGTGAGAGGTGAACAGAATGGAATGCTATGAAGTACAGTGGGGAGAGGAATGAAGGAAGATGAGACACTGGATAAAGCCCTTGGCAGGTGGTATCATTGTTGACTGCTTCAGTAGAGTAGCAGAGGCAGAAATGATTCAGTGAGTTGGGAAAGGAACAAAAAGTGAGAATGAAGATGTTGAGTTTAGAAGTTTGACAGTAAAGAACATAAATAGACCAATATCTTAAAGGGGTAGAAAAGATCAGAAGGCTGTTTTAATTTCACTTTTTGTTTTAGGGAGGGGATAAAAAACTAAAGACGTAGGAGTGAGGAACTTGACAGCAAGATCTTAAGAAGGCAGGAAAGGATGGAGTGGGAGTGGTTACCTTCATTTTTAAAAATAGCCTTTTCTGCCTTAAAAAAAAAAAATTAGTAATGTTTGGAAGGAGAAAGGAGATGTTCACATTTGATGGCATCTATTTTCTGGGAAGTAGGAGCCATCTGCTAAGTATGAGTTAGGGCCTGAAGAGAAAGTTAATGGTATGAAAAACTTGAGAAATGTATAAAGAAGATGAAATAGGGACAAAGAAAAGGATAGCAGAGTATGATGAAAACTAAACTGAGGTCGAAATTAATGCAGTTATGCAATTTCCTTTCCCACAAATGTTTAGTAGCCAAACAGCAGAAATGGGGAAGGCAGAAGTCTAGATGGATCCAGCATGCCAACTAGGAACAGTGCCCAAAGCAGACTGGTAAAATGGCCAGACAACCCAGGGGAAATATAACAGAAATAAGCAACAGGGCAGAGGCTGGGGGGGAAACCGAGTGACTGTCAGGTGGGGACTGGTGCCATGAACAAATAAGGAAGGATGAAAAAAAGGGGCCCAGGAGGTCCAGATGAGTGTGGATAGCAAGTTCTGAAGGAAAAGAGGTTGAAATCAGGGAGCAGGATTTTGAATGTAAGACTGTTTGTGTAGAGCAAGTCTGAGTAACCTGCTTCAGGCTATGAGAAGATTAGGATGGTGGAGTGAAGAAAAGGGTTGCTAAAATATCTCACAGAACTTTAACACCGAGGAGTTGGGTGGGGATGCTGAAGTGGACACTGAAGACACCCACGATGATGACTGAAGAAAATTTTGAGCAGATGCAAACTCCTTAACAAATGTGAGGTTAGTAATTTCCACAAAGATGGGAGAGTGTAATTATTTGCTAACAAACACATTTCAAAAGATACAGGCAATCAGACTAAAAATTGCAGTGGGGACTAAGAAGATTAGATGCCACCTCTTGGTCCCCTTATATTATGGAAAGAGAAAATAAGTAATATACCCATTCTCATTTATCAACATATTTAGGTTCCAAAGACTAGGTTGTTATGTGAAAACTGGTGTTATTCGAAATGGAGGATGACCACATCAGATCACAAAATGGAGATGACAACATCATTCCATAACTGCCAAATTACATTACATAACTGCCAAATTATTCATTACAAAACTGCCAAACCACTGAGCATCATGGCCCAGCCATGGTGACACATAACCATCACATAACCTTAACCATCACAGTGTTACTCTCGCCTCACACCTTGGCATTCGTTACTGCCACATGTATGTCGTTAATGAGCAAAATAGACAGTAAATTTTTTACTATTGTCGTAAATGTAAAATGTCAGATAATGAGATAGTCGAAAAGTGAGGAGTAGGTGTAACTGCCTGAGAGGATAATTTTAATGGAAGCAGGGATATCCATCACGTAAAGCTGAGTAAGAAAACAGACTCTAACATCAAGGTGTTTTATAGAGAAAGCATACATACCAGGTCTGAAATCATGTCCCCACTGACTGCAGCAGTGAACTTCGTCCACAGCAATTCGAGTAAATCTTCTTGCTTCATAAGCTTTCTCTAGTCTTGACATAAACATTTTGCTTTTTGCAATTTTCTCCGGAGTCACATAAATTAACTTTAACTTGGAGTTTTTATTGACCATTTCAGCATGAACCCATTTCACATGCTCCTATTAAAAGGCAAAACAGACACAATGATAGTGGAACTAAGCTAGCAAACTGCAATACTAAGTGCTAAGTGAAGACATTCATTACTCAAATGCAACGGCCTTGGGCTGTTCTAGCAGCTGCTGTTTACTTCATTAAAGTGGAAACCATGCCCCAGTACTAAACTTCACAGCAGCTGGGTAAACAGCATTTTAGTTATTTACTTATATCCAAATTGTTGATGACAAAAATACACTCTCACTTGACAAAAAAAGAGAACAAAAAGTGAATGTGAAAAGACACTTCAATAAACAGCATCTGTTGGAGCTCTGGTGGTGCCATAGTTAAAAGCTCAGCTGCTAAACAAAAGGTTGGCAGTTCAAATCCACCAGCTGCTCCTTGGAAACCCTACAGGGCAGTTCAACTCTATCCTATAGGGTCACTGTGAGTCGGAATCGACTCGATGGCAATGAGTTTGGTTTTCAGAGTTTTATTGGACCTCTGGTGGCACTGTGGTTAAGAGCTCAACTGCTTATCAAAAGGTCGGCAGTTCAAATCCACCGGCTGCTCCTTGGAAGCCTATGAGGCGTTCAACTCTGTCCTAGAGGGCTGCTATGAGTCAGAATCAACTCAACGGCAATGTGTTTGGTTTTTGGTTTTATTCTATGAAGGCATAATTCTAAATTCATAATAAAAGCCAACATGTGAGCTAAATGAAGTAGCTATGATTATAACCAAAAAAAAACCAAACCCATTGCCATTGAGTTGATTCCAACTCGTAGTGACCCTCTAGGACAGAGTAGAACTGTGTCACAGGGCTTCCAAGGAGCAGCTGGTGGATTCAAACTACTGATCTTTTGGTTAGCAGCCGAGCTCTTAACCACTGCACCACCAGGGCTCCTTATAAAGCTAGGTTTCATTAAGTTTAACATTTTATTTATAATCACTTCATAGACAGATCTATAAATAAAATTTTTCTTTATTAGCTACTTTAATAATGCTATCAAATCTACTTATGATCTCTTTACTTAAATATAAAATAAAAGCCATAGAGTTTTATAAAGTATTTTATTCATCAAATTCAGATTGTGACCAAAAAAAAAGAGTGTAAGGTAACATTATATTCTTAGTGCTCTGATACTATTTTATATAATATTTAGCAATTAGATGCTATTTTTTCTTTCTAACCTAATGGGCCCATAATGTGTAAAGAAACCACAGAAAATGAGATAAAAAGAGAGTCAAAACTGCTTTCATCATCCCAGCAAAAAAGTAGTTCAGTAACTCCTAGAGATACTCTTAATTTTGTGAAGAAATGACTTACGTGTATTAAACATTTTGACTAGTTCTAAATGTCCTAGAAATCTTAGGGAAGCAAACATACATAAGACAATTTTCTCAAAAATGGGCAGGTGCCATAAAATACTAGAACCAGAACCTCTCGCCAAATAGAGAACCAAGGTTTAAAAAAAGAAAAAAATGTTATACCCTATGAACTATTAGTGAAAGCGACCAGAAAACTGGAGTGGACCTTATCTTTTCTCTTTTACCTCTCCAACTTGTACTTACCCGCAACTTTCTAAGCTATTTCTATCACTATTGCTCTTTCTTCTTCAGGTTTAAGAAAGTATAGTATTAGAAGGGCAATGTTCTCAACAGATTCATTCTGTGGAATGAGAGAGCAGTTATAATGTAATGATACAAGAGTTTAAATAAAGTAAAAATATATGGGGAAAACTAAAGAAACCAGGGCTACTTAGAGAAATGGCTGATTCCAGGTCTGGGCAGGAAATGTACCAAATGACCATGGAATATCTTGTTGTAAAAGAAGGAAGCTATCAAAAGACTACTTCAGCATAAAAGAAATAGTAAACTATGAATTGAAATATACCAAAGATGTTAAAAATCTATTATAAATAATTTTATGATACCTGAAAAAAACCAAAGAACTATTGACCAACTTTGGAGAACGCTGGGAAACCAACTCATTGTGAAAACTGGCAAAGAAAGGGAAAGAACCAAATATTTTCATCTTGCAAAGAATTAATAAGGAAAAAGTTCCATGACAGAAAAAGTCTAGCTAATACATGAAGTAGGAAGGATAATGAGTCCCTGGTGGTGCAGTGGTTAAACCTTGGCTGTTAACCAAAAGGTCAACAGTTGGAATACACCAGCTGCTCCACAGGAGAAAGATGCAGCAGTCTGCTTCAGTAAAGATTTACAGCCTTGGAAATCTTATAGGGCAGTTCTACCCTGTCCTGTACGGTCGCTACGCTATGAGTTGGAATAGACAGCAATGGGTTTGTTTGTTTGTTTTAAAGCAAGGGGGAGGAGTTGAATGAGTCTTTGGGTGGCACAAACAGTTAAGGGCTTGGCTACTGAACAGAAAGTTTTACAGTTTGACTCCATCAGGAGGTTCCTGAGAAGAAAGATCCTGGCAATCTATACACAAAAGGTCACAGCCATTGAAAACTCTATGGTGCACAAGTTATACTCTGAAACACATGGAATTGTCATGAGTCAGAATCGACTCAACGACAATTGGTTTAATGGAATAATGGATCTAAGGTGGGTAATAATTATCAGTGGCTGCTAAAACCATTAGATGAAAAACTGATAGAGAACTTGATCAATATAGAAGATTAGGCTGGCATCTCCTGAACCCACTGATCACTCTTAACATCACAAAAAGACATTACATACCTCCTGATGGGATGCCACAGGAAGTATACAACATCACTTGTGAAATACTCTTAACAAAAAAATAAAGGCCAAACACAATCAAGCTTCTAGATCTAACTAAAAGGAACAAGTTAAGCAATATCACAAGGCTGCAATCAGGAAAATCTACAATGTAATAAACTATAGGACAAATGACCTGGTTTCTTCAACAAATAATTTGCAAGGGAAACCAAAGATAAGGGGAACCTATAGCTAGCTGTATCAGAGGGCAGTGGTGGTTCAGTGGTGCGGAAGAATTCTCGCATTCCATGTGGGAGATCAGATTTGAATACTGGCCAGTGCACCTCAAGTGCAGCCACAATCCATCTGTCAGTAGAGGGCTGCATGTTACTATGATGCTGAACAGGTCTCAGCAGAGCTTTCAGACTTAGACAGACTAGGAAGAATGGCCTGGCAATCTACTTCCAAAAATCAGCCAGTGAAAACCCTATGGATCACAATGATCCTCACCTGTTGTGCATGAGGTCGACATGAGACAGAGACCGACTCTATGGCACCTAACAACAGCAACAGCATAGCTATAGCAACAAAATGCAAGGCACAAACCTTATCTGGACCATGATTAAAAAATTAAAAATGATGAGACAGAGAAATCTGAATATTTGTTATTTGATGACTTCAAGGAATTCATATTCAATTTTTTAGGTGTAATAATAGCATTGTGATTATCTTTTTTAAAAAGTTAGAGATACACACTGAAAAATTTACAATTGAAATGATATGATGTCTGGAAATTGTTACAAATAAATAAACTGAGGGGGAGGAGGTAGGGAAAATTGGGAGTATACAGCTATAGCAAGATTGCCCATCTGTTAACTATTAAAAGTGGGTAACAGGTATGTGGCAGTTTATTAGATTATTCTCTCTACATTTCAATATTTTTGAAAATTTCAATCGTATGCTTTTAAAAAAATAGCTGGGAAATGCTTTATTCTACACAAATGCTTTTATTCACATGAGGGTAAGATAATCTGTTCCCAAACAGAAAAAACTCCACAGGAGCAGGGTATCTTGTTATTAATCCATTTTTTTGTATGTAATTACATTACACAATTAGAAATCATTGCTTTTGATTTTAGAGTGGATAAGACAAAACAGGCTGGCAAACATCTCCTGTAAGGATCAGATTTTGCGAGCCATACAGTCTCTATTGCAACTAGTCAACTCTGCCACTATAGCGTGAAAGCAGCCACAGACAATAAGTAAATGAACAAACATGGCTGTGTTCCAATAAAACTTTATTTACAATGAAATTTGAATTCAATATAATTTTCATATTTCATGAGATATTAGTTCTCCTATGATTTTTTTTTTTAACCATTAAAAAATATTTTAAAAACATTCTTAGCTCACAGGCCACATAAAAATAGGCAGTGGACCAGAAATGGCCCGTGAGCAGTAGTTTGCCAACTCCTGATATGAACAGTTGTCAGTTTATAATTTTATAAGCAACTCAACTGCAGTTAAGACTCCTACTTCAGTGAAGAGTTTAAATTAAAAAAAAAAAAAACCAAGGCACAGCAGCTTACCTTAGAACTAGAAGCATTTAACATGGTAGCTGAAATTCCTAATTGTTTTAAAACCATTAACTGGTCTTCCATAAGAGAGATCAATGGACAAATCACGAGTGTAAAACCTAAAAGAGACAAAAAATCTACTTTAAACTGTACATCATCATCAGAATGAGTTGCCACCATTCAGCTTCTTTACTATAACCTGTCGGCAGCACCCATAATTCAGACTAATTCTCAATGCAACTTTAGCAATATACTACGTATTTTCAACCCTCGTTAATAAGGAAGCAGATAAGAATATGTGGTCATAGGAAGTTAGATAAACAAATATGAGACTAAACAGAAATTTCTTCCCTTATTCACTTACTATAAAAATAAAGACAGATATCAACATTTTGAATGTTTAATTTGCTACCATTTTTAACAATCAGTATTGGTAATCTGAGTAAAATAATATAACTCAGGTCAAAGAATATACAGTTGCATCAGGGAAAAATTATCCCAAAGCTTTCCAAAGAAAACGTAGCAACCTATATAGCTGAGAATGACAGCTGTATGAGTATTCTTCCACTTACTGCACCATATTAATTTATTCTGAGTAGAATCAGTGAATAGTTTATTGACTGAATGAAGTTCTGATAATATACCCCTTTCTCACTATAACAGAAATTGTTCATAACTACAAGAGCTAGTCTATATTGTTAAAATCATATGACCAAATATTTCTGCAGTTTGTTCCTTACAGTAACCTCTGGCAGGTGGGGGACAAACCCAAACCCATTGCCTATGAGTCGAGTCCAACTCATATCTCACAGCGACCCTATAGAACAGTATAGAATAACTGCCCCAGAGGGTTTCCATAATCTTTAAGGAAGCAGACTGCCACATCTTCGTCCCATGGAGTGGCTGGTGGGTTCAATCCACTGACCTTTAGGTTGGCAGCCAAGCACTCTAACCACTGCGCCAACCACTCCTTGTGGGGGGAGGGGGGCAGACCCATTTAAATAAACACTCAGATTAAGACCTCACCAGGGATTTAATCCTCTCTCCTGTATTTTCGCCTGCTTCATTATTGGAACCTACTCAGTATATTTAAACATGGTCACATCTCTCTCATCTTTAAAAAACCCTAGACGCCTAAGTTATGACTTTCTCTCTTCTTCCCTTCATAGCCACACCTTCCACACTCATTGTCCTACACGCATTAGCTTTCTCTCTTAGACACACCCTTTAAACCCAAACACCCTCCAAACATTCCACCTGGATGTCTTCTGTTGTGGTGTGCCACAGCAACCCCACAGGACAGAGCAGAACTGCTCCACAGGGTTTCACAGGCTATAATCTTTACAAGAACAGATTACCAGGTCTTTCTCCTGAACAGCTGCTAGTGGATTCAAATAGCCAACCTTCAGGTTAGCAGCTGAGTCCTTAACCATTGCACCACCAGGGGCATCTTAAATTCAACACGTCCCAAAATGGAATCCAACACCTTTTGTCTTCCCCATTCCTAAATAAGGTCTTTCTCTAGTGTCTCCTAGTTGCAGTAAACAATCTCACCATTTGCCCCACATCCAATCAATACCAAGCCCTACGGAATCTACCTCCTAAATATTTCTGAAATCATCCTTCTAAAACACAAACATGACAAACCTCTTACCTGTATAAAAGCATTCAGTGGCTTACCACTGCATCTAAGGGAAAGTTTTCAGAATAGCTTTAAAGGCTCTACCTGCATCTCTCACCACTGCCTGCTACACTAAAATTCTTCCAGGTTATTGAACGCACTATATTATGCATGTTCCCTCTTACATCTGGGCTTTCACACATGCTGTTCCCCTGCATAAACACTCTTCTTTCCTCCTCCCTCCCTTTTGCCTACTTATCTCTTAGTTTTCAGCTCAAATGACACTTCCTCAGAGTAGCATTCCCTGATACCCCTAAGTTAGATGATCACACTGACTCTTTAGTTCCGTATTAAAACCTTTATCCCCAAACCACTATTGCAAATGCTTGCAATTACATGTATTTTCTAGATAAGGGGTCAGCAAACTAAGGGCTGCCTGCTTTTGTACATAAAGTTTTACTGGAACACAGCCATGTCCATTCATTTATATATTGCCTATAGCTGCTTCATGCTATAATGGCAGAGTAGAGCAGTCGTCATAAAGCCGTATGGACCACAAAACCTAAAATATTTACTATCTGGCCCTTTAAGAAAAAGTTAGCTGACCTCTGCTCTTTGTTGTTGCTGTTAGTTGCCCTCAAGTTGATTCTGACTCATGGCGACCCCATGTACGCAAAGTAGAACTGCTCCACAGAGTTTGCAGGCTGTGACTTTCGGAAGCAGATAGTCAGGCCTATCTTCTGAGGTGCCCTTGAAAGCGCTTAACCATTTATACCACCCAGGGACCTCGACCTCTGCTCTGTAGCCTTGCTACTTTCAACCAGCAAAATCAGTATTTCCTGGGAGCTTGTTCGAAATGCAGAATCTTGAGTCTCACATCTGACTTGGGTCTCACACTGAATCATAACCTGCACGTTAAAGGATCCCCAGGGGATTCTCATGCACACAAAAGTTTGAGAAAGTACTGCTAGACACTATGAACTCTGTGAAAACTGGGACCATGCCATTTTGCTCACTGCTTTATCTCCAGTGCCTACCACCACACCAGATACTCAATAAAAATCTGAGATAACAATCTAGGTTTACTGAACCCTTTGCCAGTGCTTCTTCCCCTACAACATGTTTTTAAATTATGTTTTAGGAAGTAGATAAAAAGCATTACTCTCAAAAGTTTTTATTGTTTCCCCTTTATGCGAACCCTTCATATGTATATTAATGTAGAGATGAATAAAACAACAAAAACGCACTTGACAAATCACATAAAGAGGCACACCATGATGGCTTCAGCAAGCTCCCAAAATAAAGGATCTAGAAATTTTCTGAAAGAAGAAAATTTCTTGGAATTACTGGAGGCAGAATACAAAAGATTAATATACAGAACTCTTCAAGAAATTAGGCAAAACGCAGAACACACAATAGAGGAACTTCAAAAGATTAGAGAAGAACATAATGACAAATTTAACAGGCTGCAAGAATCCACAGAGAGACAGCAATCAGAAATCTAGACGATTAACATTAAAATTTCAGAATTAGACAACTCAATAGAAAGTCACAGGAGCAGAATTGAGGCAATGGAAGTCAGAAATATTGAGATTGAAAATAAAGCACTTGACATCAACTTATTTGAGGAAAAATCAGATAAAAGGATTAAAAAAAATGAAGAAACCCTAAGAATTATGTGGGATTCTATCAAGAGGAATAACCTATGAGTGACTGGAGTACCAGAACAGGGGGGAATAACAGAAAATACAGAGAGAATTGTTGAAGATTTGTCGGCAGAAAACTTCCCTGATATCATGAAAGATGACAAGGTATCTATCCAAGATGCTTATTGAACCCCACAGAAGGTAGATCCCAAAAGACAGTCACTGAGACATATTATAATCAAACTTGCCAAAACCAAAGGTAAAGAGAGAATTTTAAGAGTACCTAGGGATAAACAAAAAGTCATCTACAAAGGAGAGTCAATAAGAATAAGCTTGGACTACTCATCAGAAACCATGCAGGCAAGAAGACAATGGGATGACATATATAAAGCCTTGAAGGAAAAAAATTGCCAACCAAGTATTATATATCCAGCAAAACTGTCTCTCAAATATGATGGCGAAATGAGGGCATTTCCAGATAAACAGAAGTTTAGGGAATTTGCAAAAACCAAACCAAAATTACAAGAAATGCTAAAGGGAGTCCTCTGGTTAGAAAATCAGTAACATCAGATAACAACCCAAGACTAGAATACAGGACAGAGCAACCAGTTATCAACCCAGATAGAGAAGTCACAAAAAAATAAATCAAAGCTAAAACACTGAAAATAGGGAAACAGAGATGTCAATATGTAAAAGATGACAACATTACACCAAAATGGACTAAAAAATGTAGATATAGATTTTTCATATGGAGAGGAAGTCAAGGCAATATAAAGAAATAAAAGACTGGTATAAACTTAGAAAAAATAGGGGTGAATATTAAGGTAACCACAAAGGAAACTAACAATCCTACACGTCAAAATAAAAAACAAGGAAAATATAAACACTCAGCAAATACAAAATCAACAACAATGAAAAACATGAAAATACATAAAGAAAAACGACTCAGCACAGAAAATTAAGTGGAACATAGAAACTGTCAACAACGTACAAAAAAACGCGCTTGATTTTTACATATATGTGGCTAGATACTATTTTTTAAAATACTTAAAAATATATCGAGAGAAATGACATTTCTTCAACTTAAAATGAATTTTTCTTCATCCATACCATCTGAACATAATGCTGGTAACTGGTAGCATAAGCTCTTTCCACCTCCTGTAGGCATAACAAGGAATACCTCCTTTCCAGCCATTGTTACATTAATAGTTTCAAGCTGAAGCGATCTGAACTTCTGGAGTTTAAAGACATTTTGCAGAACATCTTTAACCTTATCAGACCATGGAAAATCTAGAAAGAAAAATAAGCTAAAATTATTAGAACTACTAGGATTGTAAATGAAACACAAACTTGAATGGCTGCTTTTATAATAAAGAATCAGATAAATGTATATATAAGACTTTTAAAAAATACTTATGGAACATTAAACTTTTATAATAATTTTGAGATTAGTTTAACTCACTAAACTAAGCAAAGCAAAAACAAATTAAATGATCTATTTTAAGAAATACTACATCAAAGAAAATGAAACTATTTGCCAGTGCAGGATTAACCCACACAGAAGATGGTGTTCAATCAGGTATTTGTAAAACAGCATGAGCGTTCATAGAGATGTCATAGTATGATATCAAAACCAAAAAAAACCCGTTGCTGTCGAGTCCATTCCGACTCATGGCGACGCTACAGGACAGAAGAGAACTGCCCCATAGGGTTTCCAAGAAGTGGCTGGTGGATTCGAACTGCCAACCTTTTGGTTAGCAGCTGAGCTCTTAACCCTTGCGCCACCAGGACTCCAGTACAGTATGTTTATCATAGAAAACTCAAATACCAGGAAAAATGTTAGCAATTGTCTGGAAATGTTGATGTAACTATCTGGCTTAGAAGCAAATCACTAGAAAACAATGCCCCCAAAAAATCTGGAAGCACTCTGGTATTCTTTATAATTAACGATAAACATAAGGCTCTGAAAGATCTTAAGGCAGAAACGGTCTGGATACGAGGGCAGGGAAATAAACTAGGTTTTGGCAAGGAGTTTGAATACCTTTTTTTCTTAATTGCTTACTTCTTTTTAAGTTAAAATTTAGAAAATTAAGCTAAACTAAATACGTTATTTTTCAAACACTGTTTTATGTTGCTAGAACCATATTTGGAAATAATCATAGCATCTGAGAAATAAATGCTGAATTCAAAAAACTACAAACAGTAGGTGAAGATAGTCTCCCTCCAAGTTTCTCATTCCACTTAAGGAACAACCAGCTTTACTTCTAACCATAATGGAAAGCACTGACCCATGCAGAATAATTTAACTCTAGTTCAAAGAAATGAGGAGAAAAAAAAGAAAACCTAGCAAATGAAACAACAAAAGAATAAACCTTCTTTATTCCAAGCATCAGGGGAAGAATCACAATCGTTGCTTGCCCCAGCATCAGAATCTTCTAAACACTGCTTTATTTTCTTTGTTAGGACTGCTTTTTTCTGAATAAGCTCTTGTTGTCTTTCCATAAGTTCTTGAATTTGAACGTCTACTGCATGTAGCTCGTTGGTTATAGACTCCAGTTCCTCGGTTAGAGCTGTGACGGGGATAAAAAGATACAATAAACTTAAATTACAATTTTAAGTTTCTCTACTGATTTTGAGATTTTCTTCACCATCTAAACTACAGGCAAATTGAAAGTAGCATAGCAGAGTGGTTGAGAGCATACGTTTTGGAATCACACAGACCTAGGTTAAATCTTAGTTCTTCCTCTTACCTGCAAAGTGACTCAGGCAAGCTGCTTAACTGAGCCTCAATTTCCATGTCTGTAAGGTGGGGATAATACCTAACTTTCATAGTACTGTTACAAAGAATCAACTGAGAGAACATATCGAAAGTTCTTGGCACAGTGCCTGGTATACAGTTAAGCATTCAATAAATGATAGCTATTTTTTATCATTATGTTGTAGAGAAGTGGTCCAACAATATCCTAAATCATTTAAGTAAAGTGACCAGTCTCCGAAGCAAAAGAAAGCTACTTAAAAGTAACCCTCTAATTACTTAATTATTGTTTCAAGAAAAATTCTATTGGTTGGCATGATAAGAAGTTGGTGACTATAAACAAGATAGTGTAATAAGTAAAAAGAGAAATCAAGTGTACTATCGGAGTTGGTATCACAACTTCATTGTAACTAATTTATAGAGGCCTCAATGTATTCAATCCACATACTAAAATTCTAATCAATTCAAGTATTAAAGTCAAAGTGACATTTCTTTTGGCACACCAATAGAAGCTAAAAAAATTTGAAAGATGTCTTTGGTGCTTCCAAATTCATCTGCCTGCAGTAATCAGTGCCCAGTTTTAAACTCTCTTCATGAGATGAAATCTTATGGTTATGATTTGAAGTAGGAGGTAGGTGGTGGTAGCTTTGTATTATGCCAACTGCCGGAATTCCCTTCTCTGCATGTTCTGAGTTAGGGCTGGCCACAGGAGAACACTCCATGAGATTGAAAAAAAAAGTTGCCATGGCATTGATTCAACTCATAGTGACCCCATGTGTGTCAGAGTAGAACTGTGCTCCATAGGGTTTTCAGGAGCTTATTTTTTGGAAGCAGATCACCAGGACTGTCTCCCAAGGTACCTCTGGGTGGACTCAAACCTCCAACCTTTTAGTTAGCAGCCAACCATGTTAACTGTTTGAACCATCCAGGGCCTCCAGGAGACTGCTAATCCTTTTAAGGATCTATGCCCACCATCTCTCAGGGTAAAACCCAGCAAGCTCTATAGGATAGTCATCTGTGGAGGATGGCATAGCTTTCCTTCAAAATCCTAATGGTCTATGCTGTGACTCATCTATAAGGCCAAAGGTACCAGATAGCATCCCTAATTGTTAAAGATATTTCAAACACCATCATACGGCTCACAGCTTTGGTGAAGGGAGTGTCCTCTGGATTATCACTGGTATAGACACTTACTCTGGATATAGACATGCCTTCCCTGCCTGCTATGCATCTGCCAAATCCATGAATTCACAGAACGCTTTACTGACCATCATGGTATTCCACACAAAATTGTTTCTGACTAAAGAACTCGGTTAATAGCAAATAAAGTATAACAGAAGGCTCATACTCAAGGAATGAATTGGCCTAACCATGTTCCCCATCACCCTGAGGCAGCTGGCCTGATAACAGAATGGTATTTTCAAGGCTCAACTGTGGTACCAACTGGGTGGCAAGATTTTAAGGACTAGGGTGATGTCTTCCAGGATGCGGGATATGCTATAAATCTGTGACTAGTACTGTTGCTTCCACAGCCAGGATTCACTGGGCATGGGAATCAAGAAACGGAAATGAGAGTGGCCCCTCTCATTTCACCAGTGATTCAGTAGCAAAATTTTTGCCTCCCATGCCAGCAACTTTGGGCTCTGCTGGTCTACAGGTCTTAGTTACCGAGGGAGAAACGCTCCTATTGGGGGACAAAGCAACGGTTCCATTCAACTGGAAGCTGAGACTGACATCAGGCCACTCTGGGCTCCTCACGCCAGTAAATCAGCAGGGAAAGAAGGGAATCCCTGTTTGCCTGGGGTGAGTGACCGTGATTATTAAGAGGAAACTGGAGGAGTATGTCTTGAATACAGAAGATCCTCCAGGGCATCTCTTAGTACTCCCACCTTCTGTGATTAAAGACAATGAAAAGTATAAAAACCAAATACATGTGGGACAGCTAATGGCCCGGGCCCTTCAGGAAGTGTTGAAGTGCCTGCTAAGGTAAAATGAATATGAAATGGGTAATGGAAAAGGTAGTTATAAATACCCGTTGTGACCACAAGACCAGCTGCAGAAACAAGAACTGTAATCGCTATGAGCATTTCTTCATTTCTTTCTTATTCTTATCCCGGTGGCGTAGGGGTTAAGCACTACGGCTGCCAACCAAAAGGCTGGCAGTCCGAATCCGCCAGGCACTCCTTGGAAACTCTATAGGGCAGTTCTAGTCTGTCCTATAGGGTCGCTATGAGTCGGAATCGACTCGACGGCAACAGGTATACACATTAACCAAGGTTTGTTCATTTTTTTTGGTCTCCTACATTAGTCCCCTATCATCTGCTAATATAGGACACGTTAATAGTAGCTGATGCCATGTCTTAGGATTTAAGCCACACAGTTATCAGGGGGGATGTGATTCAGCAAGAGGAGGGATAAGCATCAGCCAAGGACAAAAAAGAGAATTTGTGCCCTTTTTGGGGAAGAGCGTCAGTGTGTATTTGGTTGTACACAGAATAGCTGCACCATATTAGACAAAAGTATGATTTTGCTACTGACTTTTTGTGGAAATTAAGTATGGTTAAAAGAACAGTAAATAGGTGCCAAGTAGATAAGGGGTAGACTCTATTGGTTTTGTATTGTGATAACTTAATTAAGTAAAAACTACATTTCCTAGAATTTTCTTCCCTGCATAGTTCTATTCAGGGTTGCACAAGAGAACTTTGCCAGGGAGTTGGAAGGCAGACGTGAAGCAATACCAGGTTTTCCATATTTAAGAAAGTCAGTGTAAAGTCAGGACTGGGTTCCCTGTTGGCATGGGGCAACAGCTAGGCTCCTGCAAGATAGTCTTGGGAAAACAGCTGGGCCTGCAGCTCCTCCAGATCCTATTGGTTTTCCTCCTCCAGCTTCTCTGAAGCCTCAGTCAGGTTTGCCTGCAACTCCATAGTGAAGTGCACCGGCTCTCTGACAGGTCTCTGCATCATCCAAGTTGGAAGCTTTGAAGCAACTGAAAGACTGATAAAGAAGTCTCTCCTCTTGGGGTTACTTTCCCCACTTTCCATCAATCTTCTCTTCCTAACTGCTGGCTCTACTGACTTCAGGCCCACTGCTAGACACAGAAGCAATATATATTTATAAATGTATGTAGGTATGTGTGCATACTTATATACATACAGAGCTTAACCAGTTCTCATAAACATAAGGTCTAATCTCTATAATAAATCCCTTATATCATTCATAGTGGTTCTGCTTCACTGATCAAACCCTACCTGATACAGAGGTTAATGTCATCCATGCTACAATATTATCATGTCTTAGATAAAATCTAGATGGACTAAGAATAGAAGAAAGTACAGGTAGCTGCAATAAATCCGGGTATTTTCATATTGTTGTTTAAAATTGTACCATATCTAATGCTGGCCTGTACAACACGAGACTTTCACTATAGGAGGTGAGACTGAAAAGTCTAGTAAATGATCTCACCAGCACCCAGTCCACAGAGGAGCGGGACTACAAGTGCAGGGGGCTCATGACCGCTACTGTATCTGAACAGCACATTCAACGCTTGCTCCAGTTTTCCTCAGCTGACAGCCCATGCTGAGTGAGTGCCATTCTTCAGAAACAGCACTATTTCTAGCAATATCCCAAACTGAAGCTAACAATGAAAGAAAAGTGATTTGCCACTATGGAAGCCATCCAATCCAAAGCAACAACCTGTCTGAAGGCAACTTCAAAGAGGCATTTCAAACAGAGTACAAGTGGGTAGAGCAATAGAGCAGGCGAGCTTACTTGAAAGGGGATCACTATTTTGAAGCAATTAATCAAAGGAGCCTGGGTGGTGCAGGTGGTTTGCAATCAGCTGCTAACTCGAAAGATTGGTGGTTCAATCCCACCCAGAGGCTCCGCAGAAGAAAATACCTGGCAATATGCGACCATAAAGATTAGTCAAGAAAACCCTATGGAGCAGTTCTACTCTGTAACACATGGGGTCGCCAACAGTCGGGGGCCAACTCGATGGCAGCTAATATCAATAATTAAGTATCCCTTCTTAAATAAAAATGATCTCATTATTTTCTGATTTTTAAATTGCATCCCACTGACGAAGCATGATGTCTTATTAAATGGAATAACTTATGCAGTCTAAAAATGACCACGCTGGTCTGTCTAGGTTTAGTAACATCCCTTAAACACTCTTCTTTGAGTAAACATCACGTGGGTCAATATTTAATAAAACTGCAATTGTTCCACTTACTATGAATCCTCAGCCTGTGGGAATGAGCCATGAGATGGTCAAACTATCTCTGCTTCCACTATGCATTCATATTTATGGAGTCCCTGTGTGTCTGCAAACAGTTAAACACTTGAGTACCAGCTGAAAGGTTGGTGGTTGGAACCCACTCAGAGGGAGACAGGCCTGGTGATCTGCTTCTGTAAGGTCTTAGCCTTGAGAACCCTATGGAGCCGTTCTACTCTGACACACACTGGGTTGCCCTGAGTTGGCACTGACTCAACAGCAATTAAGAACAAAATTCATATTTATATTTAAATAAATTGTTAAGTTCTGTGGTGGGGGGGTGGGAAGGGGTGGTCCATGTTTAAGAAAAACGTTGCTTTCAAATTTGAAAACAACCCAATCTTGTTAACCCACTTGTACACCTAGTAAGTAGCAAAGGCCATATTCACTATACCCCACAAAAGCCTGAAAACAGACCATCATACAAGCCTCCCACTCCTGCCACTCACCTCTTAATCAAATACAGAGCGGCACCTCACTAGTAAGTACAGTACAGTGTGGTCAAGTTCATAGAAACAAATAATAGATGAAAATGCTAGGTGGCTGCCTGGGAAAGGTGGAATAATGGACGTTTTTAATCCTTTATGCTTAGAAACACTTCCAATAACTCCACTTCTATGAATTTAAGAAAAAATCAGAGAAGCTTACAAAGATTTAGATTCCAGTATGTTCCGTGCAGCATTCTTTACATTTTACAAATGGAAATAGCCTAAAAGTTCAACACTAGAAGATTAAGTTAGTAAACGTCACTTTGAAACAACAGAGCAGTATAAATAGAATTTATGTAACCATTAATCTACATTCTATATTTATGTTATGCTTTAAAATCAAGCTACAAAACGATATGCATAAAATGTTACAAATTTTATTGAAAAATAATACATATAAATGTTAACAGTATTAGATAATCTTAGTGGGATTAGAAGTGATTTACATACTGTTCTTTTTACTTTCTTAGGCTTCCTAGAATTCAATCAAAACATATCATTCCTATAATCAGAATTTTAAACACAAGCATTTTATTAAAGAATAACTAGAAATAAAGCAGAACAAACTACAAAATGTAACCATTTCCACTAACCTGAAACGGATGCCATTCTAAAACTGAACTGGAGATCCAAATTTCTTTCTATAAGTAAAAGAACATGTAAAACAATTTTTAAAAAACAGTACAGTTGATAATAATCAATGATAATCTGTCACAATAAAGCACACAAAAAAATGCTAAAAAGTAAACTATATATTGCAGTAACCTTTCAAATAAAGGCTATATGATTTTTCCCACACTAACTTTTATGGAAAATTCTCTAGGTTTAGAAATGTGCAAAGTCTCATAAACATATACATGACAGGTTCAATGTCAATAACCCTTCCCATACCAGATACAAAGCGATAACAGCAAAAAAGAACATAAGGTTTGAGGTTAAACAGGCCAGTTCAATTTCAGTTCCAGCACTAAACTACTGTGTGGCCTTGTAAAATTACCCACCCTCTTCCTCTATGCCTCTTTTCCTACCTTGGGATCACAGAATTATTTTATAGATAACAAGTTGGATAGATTCAAATGCCCCCACATTAAGCAAAACCCACCTACATAATCAAATTAATTAACATTTTATTCAACACAATTTTGTAAGAGTTAAAACTTAAACTCAGTCTTAAAAGATTAATTAGCATTTTATGGAGGGGTTAGAGCTCAGCGGGAGAGAACACAGAAAAGTCTGAGAGGTGGGGAAAAACATGGTTTGTGTTAAGAAATTCCAAGTATGTAAGAATGACTAAAACTTAGAGTGCACATGGGCAAGTGAAAGATGAGGAGGCTTGATTTCCCCATAATCCCCATAAACCCCTACTCCCAACTCTCTGATATGGACAATCAACATTTTATAAAACTTAGAATGTTCTCCAAAGGAAGCTTCAGCATCACCCTACCCTTATTCAGACTGCTAGCCTTAAACTATTCCTACACAGAACTCGGAAGCCACCACTAGGTCTTTTATGCCTTGTTATGGAGATTGGAATAGCCACTCCACTAACAGATTTTTAAGCAAGGGAGTAAACCTAGGACTTCTAATTCTTTATACATATAACAAGCATTTCTCCACCACTTGCTGGGAATGTAGTTCCCCTTCGCTAGACGGTAAAGTTCTCCAGGAGGACACCGGTTGAACCTCTTCATGTTTGTATCCACATAGCCTAGCGTAAAGTTGCTATGAGTCGGAATCGACTTGATGGCAACAGGTTTTAGCCTAGCAAAGTGCTCAGTGGGTTTGCTGAGATTGACAGCAGGGGCTATCGCTACCGTTATGAAAGGATATAATCTATAACCGATTCTTCCCCACAAATTTAAACGACTCTTTTAATTAAACCGCTAAAAGACTGCTCATAAACTGTATCATCCCCCAAATGATGTGATAAACTCTATCAGCCCCCAAATGATATGATTTAATAACAAAAAATATCTCAACATGCATTCGGAAATTACTGAGCTATAGCAGATCTGTCAAAAGTATATGCTAGACAACCACAGGAAAAATTATACGGAGTGACAGCCAGCTGACTGATACGATGCAGGAGAAAATAACATTGAGGTACCACAAGTGAGATCACACATACACAACAATAACTTAATGATACCCTCCCTTACGCTACTGCGAAGCATGGTGGAAGAAGCATCTCCATGGCGTTTCCCCATAAAAGCTGGCTGCCAATAAACAGGCAAGGAGCCCTGGTGGCACCGTGGTTAAGAACTCTGCTGCTAACCGAAAGGTTGGCAGTTCAACCCACCAGCCGCTCAGCAGGAGAAAGATGTGGCAGTCTCCTTCCGTAAAGATTTACAGCCTTGGAAACCCTATGGGGTTAGTTGTACTCTGTCCTATAGGATCGCTTTGAGTCGGAATCCACTGGAAGACAACGAGCTTGGTTTTGGTTTTAATAAACAGGCTCTGGTGCCCAATCTCCTGCATGGAGAAAGCTGGAGAAGCAAAGGGGAACTGCTGGCAGACGAATGTGCTCCTAAGGCCCAAGTTCCATGACAGCAGAGCGATGATTAATGCCCTCGTTTCTTCCCTGGCAACGTGTGGGTGGAAGGAAGTGACCCGCTGTAGCCCGGCCTTGCAGTCAGGCAGGAAAAGATCAAAGGAGGAGGGCACACCGTTGGCACTTCACAGCTGTAACAGGAGTTACCCCAAAACATCTGCCCATGGGGTTCATGGAGCACCCTCCCGCTCCCTGGTCTCCGACCCCCAAAGCGCCCCAGACTCGAATCAGCTACGCACCCTTTCAGCCGCTCTCCTACAAAAATCTTCCCGCCACCGGGCAGTCCCTTCTCCCCAGCCCGGAGAATCCACCCTTCCGGGTCGGTCCGTTCAACCAATCGCAAGTGATATCCTTCTCTAATTGGTCCAGGGGTGTGGCCGCCATACGCGTCACCAAACAAGACCACCTGCGATTGGGTTAAATTGAAAGTTGGTTTAGCCAGTGAGAAGCAGTTTGGGAGCTAGGGTGGGGGTGGCTGCGTGTTTCCGGAAGACGTGGCGGCTCTCTCCTGGGCTGCTTCCCGGGTTCTTTCCTCCCGACTCAGCTTCACACCCTGCGCTCCGTGTGGTGCTGCCGCTGCATCTCTCCCGTCGCTGCCCTCACCACTGCAGCCATGATCTCCTTAACTGACACCCAGAGTAAGCTCCCGCTCTGTGGCCACCGCCAGCCCTGCCGCGAGCCCCACACCCCTCCCTCGGGCTGGGTGGGTCTCGCCCACCCGGCTCAATGAATGAAGTTGCGCGTTGGGGGCGGTGGCCTGCGAGAGTAAGCGAGGGCTTCGGGACCTAGAAAGCTGCCTTGACTGGGCAGGTGCTGGACTTGCTGTGACGGACCTGGTCTGGGGGGAGAGGCGATGGGGTTGAGGGAGACGCCCGAGCTGGGGAGGTGGAGCTTCAGCTGAGCGTCTCGCGCCAGGGTCGCGCCGGGCTCTCACCCTAGGTGAGATGGGCGCTTTGTTCCTGGGGACGGCCACAAGAGAAACTACGCGGTGCCCGCGGCCCACTCTCGGGGACGTTTCTGCATATGACATACTCGGGGTCCTCTACAAGTTGTTAGTTTGGGAGGTAGTATTTTAAATGTTTTTCTGCTGTAGGCTCTTTTTGGAAATGTGTTGACAAAAAAAAATGGCCACATTTTTTGCAACCTTCCAAAATCCCTGTAAATAGTCTCACTTTTCTATCCGTTAATGTTTCAACAGTAGTAAAAAACAGTAGTGAAAACACTTTGTGTTCAGTCAAAAGGATTTCATTCGTTAATGTGGTATATTGTGCTTAGTGGCATGTTTTATTATTTTAGCATTCCTTTCTGCCTGCCACAGAGTTCTCCAGGCCTTTCTCATCTCTAAAGTTAGCATCGCTGTTTCTCTTTGGATATAGCATTTCTGCTTTTTGCCCCTTTTTGTCAATCTTCATGATTTTTCTATTTACAAATCTCTCCAAGCCCTGTGCTTCCTTATCTTTTGATGGACATGATAGTCTCTTTTTACTTTACTTTGCTTTATTTGCCACCCCTTTCTTACTCCAGTTAACTTAGTCACATATTCAAGATTTTAAGAATCAGTCTATTGAAGTGAAAATAGAACTTAATTTTAAATACCCTGTTTTAAAGTGGAGTGTTAAAGCTTTAGATTCAAGTTATGGCTAACTTGAACTTCACAGAACTTCTCAGGTATCCTACACACAGTGAGGAGCCCCACTCAGGCTCCTTTCTCTCCTGAAGTTGGGCTGGGTCTGCACCTTGGAGCCGCCTGCCCTGGCCCAGGAAGTGTTTACCGAGTGCTTTCATATAAATCATTCCACTTAATTCTTACAAGAGCCCTTCAATGCAGACTTTACAAATTGAAGCAATTTTACAAATTAAACGAGTCTCAAAGAGATTCAATGTATGTTCATAAAGAAAATGACAGACTAGATCCTGCTAGCCCAGAAACCTTTGTTCTTTTCACTGTATCACATTGTATCTAAGAACACTTGATATAAACTATTTAAGATCAATCTAAGAATAGACATTCCATAGCAAAAATAGTTTTAACAGTGGATATTTATCTTATAGAATTATTATGCATTGATTTTTTTTTTTGAGGGATTGTATGGGATTTCTTGGTTGAAATCCAAAATTAGAATTTAGTTGTCCAAGGAAATTAGCAGAGCCATATACAAGAATTGTTAGAATTTATTTCTAATGCCAGTTGTTACTCAGAGCAAGGACTTAATCTCAACATAGTTTTCTCATCTAACTGTATCTTTCTATCTCAATCTGTAATTATTAAGTTGATTTTTTAAAATGTTACTTATCCTGTTTGTAGAGATTCTCTTCCGTTGAAGACTTATGGGAATGAGTGCCTGATTTACATCCTTCCAAAAACCAGAGCTAGGGGGCAGGGTTGGGTTATGGGCAGAAAAGGAAGTATTCTCACTTCATCAAATTGGTGAGGAAGAAAATCTTACCCTTCACTGCTTACTTGCCAAATGTTTGAGGTGAGAGTGGATTGAAACAAAAAATGATTAGTGGACCAAAAGCTTTTTCTGTCAAACTGCGTTTGTTTGTGTGTGTTTAACTGCAGGAGTTGGCCAGCATACAAAAATGATTTGCCAAGATTATGCTGGGATTCTGATAGTGAGAGCGAGTCACAAAGCCCTGATCAGAGTAAAAAGTAAAAAGCAATACGTGGTTGTTTTAAGGGAGTCTAAAATAGCGCGCGCGCGCGCGCACACGCACACACACACACCCCTAAAAAACCAGATTTATTGAGGGGACCAGGAAGTAGGCGGAGTTCCCAAGCTGTGTCTAAGTCTGCATTGCCTGAAACTCTGCCATGGCATTCAGTTGAGTTAAAAAGTTTTTTTTTTTTTTTTTTTTTTAATGTCCCCTGTTTTTTGAAGGACACAGAAAGACAGTGCTGCCTGGGGAAAAAAAAAAAAAAACTCTAAATAAAGATGCAGAAATGATACAGGGATTGCCTTTGGTGATAGATGATTCTTATAAAATTTATACAATGAGCTTTTTAAATTAAATGAGTTAGTTTTATTAGATGGCTTTTATTGTATTCTTTTTTGCTAATACCTTGTGGGCAGGAGTAATAAAGGTTTGATGGTGCACAAGAGGGAGATGAGTTCATTTCACTGCATATGATTCTGTTGGGGAGAAGGCAACTCTACGTAGGGCTTTGATAACCAGAGGGCACGTGAATGCATGAGGTTAGAGAAGAAGGGAATTCTGGAGATGAGAGACAGGTATAAGAGGCCAGTTTGAGTCTCTCTTGGTCCATTCAAGGCAGGGAACACTTGGCAGCATCATGCCAGGGCCAGTTCTGGCCAAGATGTTACAAGTAACTCTTCCCTGCCGGTCTACGTGGGATAAAGTAATAGGAATGTTTTGGTTCCCATACGGTAGTTGTGACACCATTGGCTGTGGAGTCAGAAGACTGGATTTGAATTCTGGCTTGACTCACCACCACCACCACCACCCTACGACACACACCTGCTGGTTCTGTAGCCAAGGGCAAGTTACTTAATCTCTGAGTCTTTGCTTACCCATATGAAACATAGGATGGTGCTACTTTTTGCCTCACAATTTTGTTTAAAAAATTACAGGATATTTATAAAAACACTTCATTAAATGTGCAACCATATTCATTCTTTTTTTACTGCAGTCAATGTTTAATAGGTCTACTGGCATCTCCTTTGTTATATTTGCTAACAAATTAATCGTATTAAACTTCCGTCACCTAAAGGAACTTCCATCAGAAGTTTATTATAGTCCAGTGTCCTTAGGTTTTATTAAACCAAACATATTTTACCCAAAAACAAAAAAATCCTGTGGGAAGCAGTATGGCATAATCATTAAACACATGGGCTTTGGATTCAAACAGACCTGGGTTCAAGTGTTCTCTAAATCTCAAATTCCTCCAGCTCTAAAATGATGGAATGATACCTAACTTGTAGTAGTGGGAGGATTAAGTTAAGTAAGGTATGTAAAGTAACTTATAATGCCTAATTTAGTTTAAGTTCGTAACACATAAAATTTTCTTTCTGATGAACAAAATCTCAAAATTTTTATGTAATCATTAGGGTTCCACCACTTATCTGTCAGTTTGTTGTACTGTGGTGGCTTGTGTGTTGCTGTGATGCTGGAAGCTATGCCACCGGTATTGCAAATAGCCGGCAGGGTCACCCCTGGTGGACAGGTATCAGCGGAGCTTCCAGACTAATACCAGGAAGATGGACCTGGCAATCTACTTCTTAAAAAAACTGGCCAGTGAAAACCTTACGAATAGCAGTGGAACATTGTCTGATATAGTGCCGGAAGATGAGCCCCTCAGGTTGGAAGGCACTCAAAAGACGTAGGGAAGAACTGCCTCCTCAAAGTAGAATTGACCTTAATGACATGGATGGAGTAAAGCTTTCTGGATCTTCATTTGCTGATGTGGCACAACTCAAAATGAGAAGAAACAGCTGCAAACATCATGAGGATGGCACAGGACCAGCAATACTTCATTCTGGTGTTCATAGGGTCACTCTGAGTCAGAACTGACTCGATGGCACCTAACAACAATCGTTAGGATAATTTGTGAAAAGTTAAAAATTCAAATAACTCAGGTGCCAGTGATTAAATCCACACTGCAAAATAGTTGTTTAACGGAATTTTGCTTGCTCTTTTGTCCATCTCTTCTTCCAGTAAGTTAGGTCTGACAACTAAGCAGTAAATTTCCTTAAGGCATTTAAACATGGAAGTGTCAGCCTCAAATTTCTGTAGAAATTTGTGTCTGTGGACTACACTTACTGGTATACCTGAATTCTTCTAGGCTAACTTTGAAAAAAAGGGATGGCTAGGACGGAAGGCGTAGCTATCTATAAATTGAGGAGATGGGGGATATAGAAAAAGGTAAAGTTAATAAAAATTTTGAAGTCAACAGACTGTTTTGCATTGCTAAAGATTTTTTTTAAGTAGATGTAACCCAAATTTTAGCTTTCTGGAGCTCAGGCAAAAAAGTTAAGTAACAAATCAAAAATCATTAATAGTGATTTAAAATTGTTTTCAAAAATATAGTGGCTTCTTACTCATCATCTGTACACAGAAAGTGCTTCCAGGTAAAATAAGGATTGGTGGCCATTTCCTGAAAACAAAACCAAAATGATAAAGGAGGTGACTCAGTGGATTGTTTTGTGACATTAACAGGAGAGTACTGTCACTTTTGAAAATTAAGGCTCTTCGGACTAAAAAGATGAGATCTGGAGAGTGAATGTAAAGTCAGTAAAATTATTAATCTTATAGACAGGGTGAAGATAGACTTCAAAGCTTACGCTTTGACCACCACTGAATATGCACTTTGTATATTCAGTACTTGGAACAGTTGCTGGCATCTAGCAGTTAATCAACAACTCTTTGTTTTTGAATGAATGCGTAAACACCGAGAATATTAATATCAGATAAAACAGTTTTCTTTGAAACTTCAGAGAGATGATGTTAGTACTCATTAGACTAAGTATGTAAATTGACTCAAAATTAAATAAACCCATAAGTCATCAAGGAGAAGTTAAAAGTGATGTCTAACCTGAAGATTAACTTTTGAGGAGACAGCTACCATGATCCTCAAAATGTTTCTTGTTACCATTGTGAAAAGCAGTCTATAATTAAGTAAAGCATGTTGTGCAGACCTACTATAGCATTTCTGGTAGGTTAAAGAAGGAATTAATTTTAAGACGGCAAAGAAGGACATATAGATATTGTGTATATAAATGACAGTCATAGAATATGAAGGGAGATAAATCATTAAAGGAAACCCATATATTCGTGTCTGATGCCAAAAGGGTTCTGGGGAGGGAAAAAATATAACAAAGGTTTAGAATCCTGGTTTCTTATTTTTATATTGCTATGCTTTTGAGAAATGCTATCTCCCTTATAAGGATAGAAATTTCCATTCATAGTTCAGATTTTGTGGTAATTTGCCAATGTTAATTTGTGTTAGATCTTAAGAAATGTCATTATGAGTTAGCCTGCAGTGTTGGAGACCTGTTCATTTATATCAGCCCAAAGAAAAACTGATAAATTCTCTTGCTTAGCTTACAGGGATCTTAATGTGACTTTAATTTTTCTCTACCCTTAATCATATAACTTATATTGCAGAAATTGGAATGGGATTAACAGGATTTGGAGTGTTTTTCCTGTTCTTTGGAATGATTCTCTTTTTTGACAAAGCACTACTGGCTATTGGAAATGTGAGTTTTTAAATATATATTTTAACTAAATTCATAAGGAAATTTAACTGCAAATGAATCAGTACTGCTATTAAATTTGAAGAAAAAAATTCACTGTTACTAATAATGTAAAAATTCCCGTTACATTCTCTATTTCCATCAGGAATGAAACCTGTCATTCTTCTGTCTAAATAGAAGGTGAACTCTTAATGAGGCTTTCTAAATCCAGAACTACTCTTTTCAGTGTTTTGATACATGATTTACAGTAGTTAACTGAAGGCTGCCTCTAAATAGGAGTTCAGAAGAGAGAACATGATAGTCCTATGTCTTGGTAAATTTGTTAAAATATTTTGACTTTAAGCATCTGAGATTTCACATTTGATTCAACAGCATAAAATAAACAGATTTTTAAAAACTTTTTAAACCTTTTTAAAAAATCTCAATTATTGACTTACTAGAAGGATGTATATATTAGTTATTTGAAATATGTACTATTCTATACATTTGTGGAGGTTGTTTAGAGTTCTAGGAATAATATCCCTTTTAAGAGGGTAATAGAAAGTCATGAAAAATGATAATCTTTTGAAGGGTATGTTCTTTTGAGCTTTTAATTAGAAATAGGCAAAGATAAAGAATAACAAAATTGTCATTCAAAATTGATGTTATAATAAATGATAGTATAAACATTGGTATCTCTCAATATGAAGCTTAACCTTTAGGCTTAATGTATATTTATATGAAATATTTCCCATTAAAGAAAGTTTATGAGGGAGAGCAAGCATTTGGGAATAAAACATGGGAAAAAGCAAGTGTTTGTAGATCACCATTTCGTGTCCACTGTCTGAAAACGTACAAAATACTTGAGAACACATGGCCCTCTTCTTACTTCTGCTGCCACTGTATACTCTGGAATTAATAAGACTATAATCTTCTTTCCTGACCTTGCATGGTTTCCTGTACTCTCAACTTGGCCATGTCAGTATCTCTCCCATCCAAAGGACCTTCCCTCTTTATGCCTTGCCACTCCTCTGCTTGATAAAGCTGTTCCCATCTAGCTAGAACTGGGAAAACTACGGAAGATGCAGACGCCCTGGGGTAAAGCCTGATCTTTCTTTGTCTTTTCTCCATCAAATCAAGATAGAAGAAGAAGGAGAAGAGTGGAATACAGCTACGGCTCTCACAGGCTTTATCCACCCCTTGGCTCTGATTGCTGGTTGTGCATTGTGGTTTGCACCCTGGCCAGTTGTCCACATTAACAGCCAAACACATGTGCTTCTTTTTATTATATTTAGCTTTGATCCTGCTTTTCAAATGTCTACAGTGTATTTAACTACTTTTTCTATGTTGCATTTTCTTTCTATTGTAGGTTTTATTTGTGGCTGGCTTGGCTTTTGTAATTGGTTTAGAAAGAACATTCAGATTCTTCTTCCAGAAGCATAAAATGAAAGCCACAGGATTTTTCCTGGGTGGTGTATTTGTAGTCCTTGTTGGTTGGCCTTTGATAGGCATGATCTTCGAAATTTACGGATTCTTTCTCTTGTTCAGGTAAGGCGATCGTTTTTATTTTCTCTTTCAATAAACCAGAATGTCAGATTATTATTACAGAGACTCATGTATTTGCATCAGTATGAGTAAGAGACAATTATTTCCTTAAATGAATTTTTGTTTAGATTGAATCTTTTATTACAATTTATACCATTTAGTCAACTATAAAATTTTTTATCAAATGCAGGTGATTACCTAAGTAAGGACATAAGGAGTCTTGTAAAATAGTTGTAATGCAAGAAAATTAATTTTATGATAGTATCCTTATGTTTAATACATCAACTCAGCAGTTACAGAAAGATACATAGATGGGTAGATCCAGCATTTTAATGCATAGAACTTTATAGTTACTGCAGTGTGTTGATAATTCATTTACTGAAGATGCATAATAGAAAATGCTATAGCAAACACACTATAGGAGATTTTGATCAGTTGATATTTTGCATTTATCAGTTACCAAGTAAATAAACAATAGTATACAGCATGAAAAATGCCTTTTAGTAAAGGTGGACTTAATCGTTTATTTGAGAAATGTATATTCTCTGTCTTCTGTCTTTCAGGTACTGTATTGCTCACAGGAGATGAACTAAGTGCCAGATTGCTTTAGGGAATTTCTTATTGCTAATATGGGAAATAGACAAGTAAAGATACCAGTAGGATATAGCAATAATGCCATTACAGAGGTATATGCAAAGTATTATAAGAGCATAATTAAAAAAGGGATTAAATCTCATGAGAGGTAAAAAATGTTAACTGATAAACTGGATCTTGAAAGATGGGTAGGAATCCGTCCTATAAATGAGAGCGGGAAGGACAGTTAACTACACAGAGCAGTGTTGTTGTTAGCTGCCATTGAGTTGGTCCTGACTCAGGGCAGCTCCATGCACAACAGGATCTGACAGCTGTGATCCATAGTTTTCATTGGCTGATTTTCAGAAGCAGGCCTTTCTGCCTAAACTGTCTTCGTCTGGAAGCCCCACTGAAACCTGTTGAGCATCATAGTGACCCAGAAGCCTCCACTGACAGACACATGATGGCTGCACTTGAGGGCCATTGGCCAGGAATCCAAGCACATCTCCCACATGGAAGGCGAGAATTCTACCCCTGAACCACAGAAAAGTACAGGGATATGGAAGTACATGGCTTCTTCTAGAAAGAGTGCATAGTCTAGTGAGACAGGAGACTGTGATGGATGGAATGGAATGGTTAGAGATGAGACTTGAAAAGGAAGTTTGGAGCCAGGTTGCTTACTTAGAAAAGTATACTTTATCCTGTAACCAGATTTGATGCACGATACTTCAGAGGTCCCACCCAGTCTGAATGCTCGTATCTTCTTTACCCACAGAGATTTTTAAGGTAGACGTGATGTAACCAGGTAGACGTTTTAGATAGATTCTTCTAATATCAGGATAAAGTTTGTGTTGAAAAGAGAAAGGCTGTAGGCATGGAAGCCAGTTAAGAGGCTGTTTAATATAGTACAGAGAGAATGTAGAGTGGTAGGGTTGGAATCCTGGAAACCTAGTAACAATTAACCCTTCATGTTGGAAGAGACTAAGGAGAGGAGGTCAGATGAGAACCAGGAGTAAGGATCCTGTGGCTCGGAGAAAAGAGTAAGGAAGGAGTTATGGCAGGAGTATCTTAACACCAGAAAACTTCCTTGGAGGACTGTTAGAGAAGTTCATTGGCTGGCTTAATTATTCAGTAATGTTAGTGTTCAGCAAGAAAAAACAAAGCTAAGCTTTGAAATGAGCAAAGAATGAGAGGTCTTAGCATATTGATAAACTTGGAAAAATACACTGGTTTCATGGTAGTCTTTAGAGAAGATTTTGGTACAAAATTCTGGTTTTTGTTATGAGATATTCTTAGTGTGAGCTGTGGTATATAGTGCAAGGGTCTTAAGCCTTGTCTTTCTGCATATTTATGCTCCTAAATGGTAGCACTAGAAATCACACATTTTCATATTTAAAAAAATACTTAAAACTTGGAACCAAAAAAATTACCTTCTTGAATTTTAATGCTACCAGAAAATAATTGATTGTTGTTGAAACATGTATATGTACCATCAAAATAAGAACTGCTTTCTAATGAAAAAAAAAAATTCTCCTTTCTGTTTAACGCTTCTTTTATTCCATGTTTTCACTTCTTGCATAGTCTTAATCTTATTGCTTAATTCTTGAATTCTATCCATTACAGTATTTTCATTCCTATATACCTAATTTTGGAATCCCTGGGTGCTGCAAACAGTTAAGTGCTTGGCTGCTTACTGAAAAGTTGGTGGTTTGAATCTACCCAGAGGCCCCTCAGAGAAAGTCCTCGTGATCTGCTTCTGAAAAATCAACCGCTGAAAACTCTGTGGAGCACAGTTCTACTCTGACACACGTAGTCGCCATGAGTCAGAGTCAATTTTTTTACCTAATTTTGGTTCAGAAAAAGTTTATGCATATGTAATAAACGCTTTCTTACTCTTCCTATGTAGAGGTGGCTTAACTCATCCACGGTTAATTTTAAACTGGTTAGAACCTGTGTGACTTCTGTGGGCTTGTATTTCAACCAAAAAATGAGACCTAATGTCAGATTAATAACCGTCTTGTAGACAGTCAAGAATGTCAGACACGTCGTGTTACCAAATGTTAGCACTTAGTAATTTCTCAGTAAATGATCGCTGTTACTGTTTTCATGATCCTTCCCACGTGTTCTCTCCAGCACTTTTCCTTTGCTCCCTTTCAGCCCACACCACTCACCGTAAATCGTCTGCAGTTGAACTGAGATAACTGATTAACCTGAGCATACCACATAGCTTGGCCTCATGTTCTTCTTGAGTTTTTACCAATAATCGCAACATTTTCTAATCACGTTTGTTGTGATTTATAATTCCAAGTTTGCCGTCCCTAAAATATTCAAAATTTTAACAAGATCCTTTCTTTTTTGTTTGGTTACCAATTTATCTTGGTGATAGAGAACATATAAGTTTTAAGAACCCTTTTCCTTTTCCTTTCCCAGGGGCTTCTTCCCTGTGGTGGTTGGCTTTATTAGAAGAGTACCAGTCCTTGGCTCCCTCTTGAATTTACCTGGAATTAGATCAGTAAGTAATCGTGTATTTAGCATTATGTTTGTAAACCATTGAAATAAATGCTTTGTGATGCTTTTTACTTATAGAAGTTTGAGTGATTAATACTTGACTAATTGGTAATTTTTTGATTATCATATAAATGTTTACATCACGTAGATCACAGTTACCGTGAATACCAGAAAAAATAATCATCACTAAATATGTAAAACCCAAAATTGTATTTCACTGTGTCCATTTTTAATATTGTTCTCTAGTTTAAATGTTATTCAGATTAATATGCAATGCTACTTTTCTCTTTGAGGGGTCAAGGCATTTTTCAATTAATTTTCATATGATCGCTAATTTTAGAAACAATAATGTAAAAAGGACACCATTTTTTCATGCAAGTATTTTCTTTCTCGAACTGTATCACCAAATAGAATGGATTAAGACAATAAAATAGAAAGATATCATGCTGGGAATCATACAATAATGATTCCATTCCCAGCTGTGTCCAAGGCTCAACAACCTGGTTTCTCCAGGGTGGGCCTCAGTTTCTATCCTGATAAGATAAAAGATGTCAAATTAGATAGTTAATAAAGGCTAAAGAGAATGTTTTAAAAATTGACAAGTGATGTTTCTTCAGTTCATTCAGTATTCATTCAGCAAATCCTTGATACCACACTACTAGTTTGAAGACTGTTACGTCTCTGTAGGAGGTTCAAAAGGCCTTTCAGAGTCAGCTTTCTCATTGCCTTCTCAGAAAAAGCTTTCCTGGCACCCTGTGACTGGCTTGGGCCTTGCTTCTATAGTGTACTCTGCACACATCTCTATCATAGCTCTACCGCTGTTTCAACTGTCAGGAAAAAGGCTTATATGTGAAATGTGGTAGTCTTTGAGGGCAGAAACAGACTGTTTTAGTCACTGTTCTGTCCCCAGTGCCCAGCCCAATACCGAACACATAATAGACACGCAGCACATTTTGGCTAAATGAATGAATGAAGGATGGCATTTCATTGACCTCAGGGATTCCAGCTGACTTTCTTTTAGCCTAAATCCTTAAATTTCAAAAGTAAACTAAATCCTTAAATTCCAAAAGCATCTGGATAATCTGGAATTCAGCTAAGTTGGGGGCAATCCTTTTGGCTCTAGATCTGAGCTGCGGTTCCATTTCCTTCTTTGGAAATTTCATAGTTCCGCATCTATCCTGAATAACTGGGATAAACTGGCCTTAAGGACAGAAGATCACAAGTTCTAGTTGGGTGTCAGAGTCCATCAGCTTCCTAAAGTTATTTACAGATTTTTGTAAAGCTTAAGAGATGAGCCATAGCATTTACTGAATTCTGAAATTGCCAAAGGCTGACTTACCCCTAGAAGTGTAAGTACTACTATAAGTCTAACCCCATTTCCATCCCTAGGTCAATTTTAGAGTCAGAACCTACAGCCAAGGCAACGTAGATATTTTCAGTTATCCTTGGAGAGAGAGTATTGTGCTTTTTCCCATCTTATATTTACTTTAAAATTCTAATGAATCTACAGATTCATTCAGAGCAGCTTTTCAGTTTAGATGTACCCAACCACCTATTTGTGATAATAGAAAATGTTGGAACTTGGCCTGTCTGGGTATATTCTTACTTCATTTGCATTAGTCACCAATCTCATACAATTGTCAATGTTGTTTATACTTAAAATGACTTTTGAATTTACTGATACTTCTAGTTATAAAATTGTAATTGCCCTATATGTCCTTAACTTAAGGATTCTGTAGTATTTGCATAAATGGGCACCCAATACTACAGATTACACTCCCTAGCATTACTTAATTCTAATAGATGCTTAACTAAAAATGTGAATAGTAAAGTGAAAGAAACAGTTAAGATGATTGCCGGATTTTGATAATATTATAACCGCTTGAATTACATAAATTTTAGTATCTCCACTAATTATATACTTTGGTTCAATCTTTGGATCACCATCTGGAATGCTGAAGAAAGCCAAACTGCTTTATAACATAAATAGCCACTTAAATTAATATGTGCTAAAATTTGTAATCAATAATTATAAATTTATGCTTGCATCATTGCATCTGTTTTTCATGTTGTTGCCACTTTCAGTCTGAAGTCCAGAATACACATTTAAAGTATTTTTAGTCAATAGCTGTCATAATTATCGAACTTAATGAAGCTAAATCTGTTTGTTCAAAGACTACATAAGCCCAGAAGAGATCCACAGTAATGGTCAGTTGAAATATTTTATGGGTTCATTAGTGCATGAATGGCTGATATTTTAGCTTTCTAATTTATTTTTTTTTCCTTAAGCTGTCAGTGTTAACGTCATTTATCCAGTTTATTTGTTCATTGTGTTGCATTTATCATGTTGCACCCTTAAATTCATATGTATAACATGCCATGCAGAAAACAGATTTTAGAATTTTTTTTTTTTTAAACAAACATTTACGTGTCAGAAGATGGTGGTGAGTAGTACTGGATTAATCGTTGTCCGTCACACCTTAAATTTCCACAAATCTTCTGCTAAAGCTGGGTTTTTAAATCCACATTTGCAATGTTGATATAATGTTGTAGAATACTGTAGAGTTTTTTCTAATTGTCTGGTTTTTTTCCTCCTTACAGTTTGTAGATAAAGTTGGAGAAAGCAACAATATGGTATAACATCAAGTGAACTGAAGACTCATTTAAGATATTGTATTATTTATAAGATCCTTTGAAGAATATTCAGCACAAAATTAAATTACATGAAATAGCTTGTAATATTCTTTACAGAAGTTTAAAACGTATAGCCTACGAAGTACCAACAGCAGTTAGCAAAGAAGCAGTGAAAACAGGTTTGTAATCAAGTGATCTAAGAAGTCAGCAAGCAAGCTGAAGGAGATGATATCTGCGTTACAATCCATATGGAAACTCTTGACAGCTGTTTTTATTGTTTTTCCACAATGTGCGAAACACAGCCATGCTTAGAGACCTGTGGTGCCTGCTCCTTTTATTTTGAAGGTGCAGGTGCACCCTTAGGCATTGCTTTTTAGACTGTCCACTGCAATGGCAAACATCTTTCCAGTTGCACTGTCTCTCTGAAAGCGATGATGCATGAGTTAGATTGGATTGTGTTATTTTATCGTATTAAAACCAAGGAAAAACCAGTTTTGATGTATGAATCATTTTTTCTTTTTTAACGTGGTTAAAATAAAACTTTTATGGTTCTTCTGAATCTTAATGTTTTAAAGCCAGATGAAAATCTGAGCTAGATATTCTTTGTTAGAATATGCAAAGGTCATTCTGTAGTTACTTACTATATTACAGCTGACCAAGCACTTTTTTGGTCAGCAACACACTCTGGAAATATACTTCTTGGGAGTCGGACTTCCTGAGTATCTGCCTGTATTCACTTAACAGACAGCACTCTTGACCATGAAGTCATCTCTCACAGGCTTGTCTCAGTGAATAGTCTTTTATTTAAGGTACTGAATGATGCAAAGTAAATGTATTTTTCCATGTCATGATGTCGTTTATTTTCTTTTTCTTTCCTCTTTTTTTTTTATTTTAGCAGTAGTTTATTTTGTTTTTCATAAATTAAAATAACTGTTGGCAATGTCTAAAACATGTAAGATACTAAAAGATTAAACTTATGACTTTTTTAAGGGCTATTCATCTAAGCTGCATTTTCCCCTTAATTTCAGCTTTTTCATAACATAAAAATGAATATGCATGATGTGTGCTTCATGTGAGCACCCTTCGCCTTGAGTATTGGAGAACATTTCTGAATTCACATGCTGAAGTTATTTTACTATAATTAAACTGGCTATAGCTTCTTAAAAACATAACACTAAAAAAATAACGTGTTGTCTTTTCTCCTGTTGCTGCTTGACAGACACTAGGAAACAGCAGTCGTTTCTTTAGGAGCTTTCCATGGTAGCAGCTTTCATGGTGGATCTAGGGACAACTTTTCAACAGCCGCAGTACTATTTGTTTTATCACTAATGATTGCACTATTTACCTTTTTTTTTTTTTTTAAACAGTTTTAAAGCCTTTTAATGCATAAGATCATAAAAAGAATTTGTGACTTTTATTTAAAAACATGGCTACAAAATATATTACAGATTATGTTATTCTTCCGTTTAATCTCTTAATGCCCAGAGAACTCCCAACCTCGCTCATGTAAAGGAAGAAAGACTTGGCATATAGTCTGATGGTTCAGTCTTGTGGATTGCTGTCTTTTTGGTACTGGCATTTGATTTATGATATAATCTGTGAAAATGCAATGATATTGGACAAATGGAGATTCCTACCTCAATAGTTCATGGAATAATAAGAGACCTGGTGTTGTATCTAATGTTCTTTAAAAAAAGTAGTATCATCTTCACTTGGAGAGTGTCAAATATATATAAATATACACACTTTGGGGATTGACTGATAAAAGGTGTCCTGTAGGACTCTAACATACATATTTTTGACTGACCTGTATTATTTAAGTGACTAGATAATTCTACCTTTTTAGAGCAAGAACAGTGTCTGTTAATGTAAGGAACACATTATTTAATTCCTTTGTAGACATAAATCTCTTATCAAAATGTTCTTTGCACTGTGACAGAGATACCTTTTTCAACAGTCAGAAAGCATTATTGGATAGAAGCACAGGAAGGATTTGATAATCTCCCAGTCCTTTGTAAAATTGAGAGGCTGGAGCAGTTTTCAGTTTTAAATGAGTCCACAGTTAATATCAAATATGAGTTTGGGACTGCTTGGTAGCATTGTATATTTCTCTTGCAGCACCATTGATGAGGTTCTATTTTTAAACGTACTAGTCTTCTGACAGCATTATACACCCCATTGTCTCTTCCTTTCCAAAATTAGCCTTCTGCCTTTGTGACAAAAGCATACTTCAATTATTTCCTTAGAGAGGGAGGAAAAGGTCTAATACTACTTAGCCTTAAATGTTTCTGTCATTGTTCAAATGTATTTTCTGTAACAGAAACATACATGTATTTGGAATGTTTTTCTTTTCCCCTTTTAAATTGTAATTCCTGGAATATTGCTGCTTTAAAAAACCTCACGATCAAATTATATGATCTAACAATTGAATATTGTAAATACACTTGTCTTACCTCTCAATAAAAGGATACTTTTCTATTAATTGGTGGTCAAGTGTATCTTTATTATGAAATTCTAAAAATTAAGTTAGCACTGCCAAATAACTCTCCTCATATTTAAAAGTAAGCTTTATATGCAATTTGCTTCTTATAAAATGGTCATCACATCTTTCTTTTTCAAATTTCATTTTCAGATTGTTTAAATGGAATCATAAGTACAAATATATTTGAAGTACACACGAAAATGCTTGATTTTACAAACTGTATAAAAAAGTAAGTTGCTTACCTTGGGAAATGTGCTGTTAAGAAAGTCAGACTGTCAGGTCCAGTAACCGTTCGGTTATTCAGCAGACATTTTCTGAATACCTCTCAAGTGTTAAAAGGTCTGTGCTGAATTCAGGAGACCCAGGAGAATAAGACACGGCACTTGTCCCTGAAGAGCTCATAGCTTTGACATTACTCCTAAATTCCTAGGCTTATTTCCAGATAACTCACCCTGAGTTACAACTACAAACAAATAATGAGAGAATTATTTGTGGTCTAGAGTTGTTTTCTCCCAGTCGAGTTACTAGGACTGTACTGCCTTCAGCTATGTGGTTGACTGGCATTTTCAGAAGGTATCTTTGGAGAAAAAAATGGCATCAGCTTTAATTCTGAAATTTCAGTCTCAAAATGTGACTTCTTTTGAAATTCCATATATATATATTTTTTCATTTTATTGTAGTTTTATTGGAAGATTTTTTTTTTTCTTTAACGTGAGCCTAGAGATTCAGAACAGTCACTGCTATTTGTATATTCAGAAGCCTACTATAGAATTGCTGTTGCTACAGGCAATTAGGACAGTTTTCTGAAAGCTGTTACGATTGTTACCATTAATTGCGATTTTTTTCATGGGCAGAATTTAGAAATCAGTGGAGAATACGTTTAAATACTTTTTTCTCCAAGTGAAAAGAATACGTAATATGTATTTGTGACCTAAATGAAACCATTAACATCTGCTGGGTTTTGTTCATAAATTTTGGGAAAGCCAAAATGCCAAGTCGATTGACAAGTCGATTCCGACTCATAGCGACCATATATGACAGAGCAGAACTGCCCCATGGGGTTTCCTAGAGTGTAATCTTTACAGGAGCAAATCGCCAGGTCTTTTCTCCTGAAGATCCTCTGGGTGAGTTTGAACCACTGGCCTTTCCGTGCTTAACCATTGTGCCACCAGGGTTTCTTACAGCCAAAATACTATGGTTAAGTACCATGTAAGGCACCTGGTAAGCAGAACATTGACTCGCTTGCTTTGGACATGTCATCAGGAGGGATCAGTCTCTGGAGGAGGACATGACACTAAGTGGTAGGGTTAGTGATTAGTGAAATGTAGAGGGCTAACGAGGGCATGGGAGATTGACCCAATAGCCACAACAATGGATTGGGACATGCCAGTGAATGTATTTATTTGGTTATGAGACTGCTTACCTCTGGAAAACAGATTTCTTGAGTTCAAGATGTGTTCTTACTCATACTTGTATCTCCAGTTCCTGGTGCTTAGTAGGCGCTCAGTAAATGTTGATTGGATAAAGGAAAGTTCTAGCTTATCTGGTGCTGTCCCCACTGATCAGTCATCTCTTGTGTTCAAGACAGTGTCATAGAAGCACCAGGTTTCTATCAGCCATAACGTAGGAGAATCTAACGACCTGGCCCCTGTTTAGCATCCCCTTGCTGCTTAGCATTTTTTATGATTTGAGATGCTTTGACTTTGCTGCATCAGCAGCTTGTCGATAGAAGAGGAATCATAGACAAAGGGAAGGACCATGGCCAGAGAATGCCCTTCTTTACTGGAAAAAATGTGCCTGCTGAGCAGCCTCGAAACCTATTGCTGAAGTCTTGAGACTGGAGTGAATTACTAATTCTCAGTTTCCTTTCCAATAAAGAATGAAATAGGAGGATTTTGTTTTTCCGTTGTCAAGATTGTGGCTTTGTTTGTACTTGAGATGTCAATATGAAGTAGAACTATCCCAAGGAGAAAATTTACTATGAGATGAACTGATTCCCTAAGTGAAGAAAGCCAGAAAAAACACCCTGCTGTGAACAGTGCTGGTAATAATGGATAATTCCAGTCTCTGAAGAAAGGGCTTCTGGTGTGAGGTTTGTGATCTGTGAGGCAGCTGTGTGTCTTGTGGCAGATAAGCCCAGGTCTTGGTGATGAAACACTAACTCTACCACTTAGTGTCATGTCAATCGAGTCAAATTCTCTGACTTCGCTCCTAAGTGAAACGTGAATAATATCTGTTGCACAACATTTTTGTGATGATTGAATAAAGGAATGGATGTAAAAGGGCTTTGTCAAGTTTGAAGTGCTATGCAAATATTTGGTATTATTGTCCTGAAATTCCTGGCCTAAGGAGGTAGGTTGGAAGTAGAACCACTACCGGCCTTGTCTTCCTATGTCACGATGATTGTTACCTGGCAACACCTAGGGTCCAACCTAATTCACATAGAATCCTTACATCATCCTTCGTGTTTCCGAGCTACCAACATTTACAAGGCTCAACACTTCCAAAGCGTTGTCAGTGTTTTGTTGTTTGCACCTTTATCCAAAACCTTTCTGCTGTATTTGTCCTGCTGTGCTGTGCTTACATAACATCTACTAGCACACCGTTAGCAGGCATGCACTTTGAGGTATCCTGTAGTAACGGTGTCTGTGCATTCATATACACTATGGTCAGTCATTTGGGAAATGAATGTTAAAATATTCTAATCCAGGTAAAATTGTGAAGTTGGTGAACTTTAGCCTTCCCTGCCTTTGTTTCCTTTATCCACACCCAGCTCCCTAAATACCACTCCTGTTGTTTCTCTTCAGACAATATATGATCTCTCCTAGGGTGTGGGTTCCTTAGGTATCAAAGCCTTAAGTGAAAGGATGACTGGGTAAAGACACTGGCCAATGAATGGGGAATTTCTTTGGGTAGCAGACCTTCTCAGTGCCCCTAAAGTCCCTTGTAATGATTGACCTTTGGGTAAATGACTTCTTCCACCTGTTTGTGAAACAGCTGGCCCTGGCAGAAAATAAAGCCAGTGTAGGAGATTGAACCCACCACCTCATTTGTACTATACCTACCCAAATCCTCCCTGGTCTGTCATCAAAGTAATTTGGATAGTTTGTTACAATAGACCATATTGTCCAAGTAACCTTATCCAAGACAGCAGCTGTTTTCTATGTGAGCACAGTAATCACTGAACTTGAAAGAATACCTTTAAACAGTGACAGTTGGTTGTTGTTTAAATTAGTTCTGGGCACCTTCCAGTGAACGACAGGAGTCCAGATAACATCAAAGATGAAGGGGAAATGGTCTTCATTGAATGTGTCTTTTAAAAAAAGATTTAGGATTCAGTTTGTGCAATACCCACTGCCTGGTAATATTGTCAGCAGAATAAAATTCAGTGGTTTTACCCATCATCAGTTACCAAATAACTTTTCTTTGTTCATCTCTAGATTTAGACCTGTAGAAATCTTAAAAATTCTGTGATTTAACAAAAATACGTTATGGGTAGTCAATGCCCTTTGGAAATCTTTTTAGAAGAAACATGCATTCTGGCGTGTTATTTTTGATAAGACTACGATATTGATAACACGTCAAAACCATTCTCATTTCAGCATATCATAGTGAAAATGGCAGCTTTGACATCAAGCATCCGCGTTTGAATTTATCAACTAAACTATTTTAAGCAAACCACATTCATTTATTTTTCCTTAAACTTGTAAGTCGAGAATACTGTATTGGTGGCTCATTTTCCTGTCCTTCTTTCAAAAACCTGTGTGTGTTTTTGGTGTGGAGGGGGGAGAAAGGCATTTTACTTGTTTGTTAAGTAATCCAGTAATTGGATTTCACTTATGACTTCATTTAAAACACTTAAACACATGTATATTTTATTCTTTTATTGCTCTTTTTTGTTGTAGTTGCTACAGTCCCTTGAAATTAAAATCCTAAAAGTTAATATCTGAAACAATATTAAAATGTTATCAAATGTTTTGTGTTAACCTTTTAGTCATTGGTTACAGGTAGCCCCCAATTTACGGCGGGTTCCATTTCCACAACTCCATCATAGGTCAGTTCTGATGTAAGTCAAATACCTCATTTTTTTTTAGTTTTCATTATTACTGCCACTTATTATCAGTATCTTTATAGATCCGATCTTTATTTGTCTTTAGGGGTTGGCATGAGGATGATAACATCAGCAAATTACATGCTGCAATATTGTATGTAGTATATATCACTTACGATTATGATAAGATGTTTGAAAAAAAAAGCGGACGGTCGTAAGTGCAGTTCATTGCAACTTGAATACGTGGTAAATCGTAGACTACCTTTATCAGAAGATAAATATAATCCTCTCCTAAGACAGTGAAAGTAAAACACTACACTAATAATGATCTGCTCCTGTAAAGATTACAGCCTAGGAAGCCCTGTGGGGCAGTTCTGCTCTGTTGAGCTCACTCAGCAGCAACAACAAATGGCTCTGGCTTCTTGCTTTACTTACTCCTTGAAGGGAGTAAATATTCTTCAAGTTTCTGCCTGCAAACTACTCCACTTTTTATTATTATTTACTAAACAAACCTCAGTTCCTGTCTGCACAAAACTGTCAAGTCTAAATATCAAGCATCCAAATTCCAATCTCTTTTACAAGTGTTTGCAGGTAGATAGCATCGGCCCCTCAAATTTCAATACCAAACCAAGCTTGTCTGTTCCTCTTTCCAAACTCCCTGAAACTCCCATTTCTAGCCAGTCTCCTAGCCACCCATCACTTCTTTTATCACCTAAATCTTTGCTATTCAAAATGTCTAAGGATCGGTAGCAGCTGTCAGCATCACCTGGGAATTTGTTGGAAATGCAGAATCTCAGGCCTCACCCCAGCTCTACTGAATCAGAATCTGCATTTGAACAAGATTCCTAGGTGATTCATATGCACATTAATGCCTGAGAAGCACTGCCCTGACTTTTATTTCTCTCATCCATGATGTCTTAGCATGTGATGGGTACTCAAATCCTGTTCCGTGTCTTCCTATGTATATAACTGTTTCAACTGAATATTGACATACTTGCCTTCTAAGAATTTCCTTTTGTGGTTATCTTCTCTTTCTTCTACATCATTAATTTCTCCTTTTCTGTTGATCTTTCCATCAGCATACATGTTATACAAATGGGTTCTTAGTTGCCATTAATAGATACCAACAAACCTGGCTGATTTAAGAAGAAGAGGAAGCTGGCACTGCCACCAAGTGCACACTGCATTCTGGAATCTGCCACTAACTAGTATGGTAACCAGTTTCGCCCCCAGAAACAACCACTGCTGCATGGGAAAGTGTTTCTCCTGATCCCCTACTTTCTTCCATCTCAGCTCCAGAATCCCCATCTAAGGAGGTCCATCTTGTCAGTGAGTCTGAGTTATGGGCCCACACCCCACCTGATAGGGAGGCTGGAAAAGTGAGTATCTGACTTTTTCAGCTTGTACAATAAAAGGAAGATTCTGCCTCCCACCAAGATTCATAATTCCATAATTCATCATTTAGGGAATTTTAGGATTCCCTAAAATTAAGAAAAATGTTAAGTTATTGGAAGGACGAAAAGACTTAAAACATATTTCTTCCATACTCAAGTATCTTTAAAAAAAAATACTTCCCTAGACTCCACCCCTCTTCAGTTTCTCATTTTTCCTTTCCCCCTCCTAGCAAAATTTCTCAAGAAGGTTATCCACTGTGTCTTTATTTCCTCATATTTTATTTATTTTTCAGACCACTCTAATCTAGTTTCTCTTCTCATAAACCATGACATTTTCAAGTCCAAATGGTCACTTCTTGACCCTCATCTTAGTCAGCTTTTCACCATCATTGACAGTCTCTTGGCTTCTTAGGCATTATGGTCTCTGGGAATTTCTTCTTTGCTTCTGAATGCTCCACTTCAACCTCCTTTTCCAGCCCTTCCTTTGCCTGTTCTCTGTATGTCTGCTTTCACAGCTCTGTCCCTGTCTCTCTTCTTGAGCTCCATCCACTCCCTACATTGTTCCATTCAATCCCAGCCTTTTCAATCCCTATAGGCTGCTAATTCCTGCCTTTAAAAAAGATCTATAGCTGGTGACCTCTTCCCTTAGCTCTATAGTTTTGCATCTCCAGTTGCCTATTTCTCACTTCTACTTGAAAGTCCAAAATGCATTCTAATTTTAATATGCTCAAAAGACAGATCTTAATTTCCCTCCCTTATGAAGTCTCCCCAATTTCAGTAAATGGCTTCATCATTCAATCAGTATGTAAGCCAAAAACCTAAGAGCCATCCTTTATGTTTTCTTCATACTCTCACATCCCATTTATCCACAAATTCTGTATTTTCTACCTCCAACATATATCCCAAATTCATTTACAGTGCTCCTTTCCCTGCTAGTACTACCCTAGCCTAAGCCATCATCTTTTCCTTATAACCACGTGCGCTTGTGAACTGGCCTCTTTCTTCCTCTCCAGCCTGTTTCAAAGCCCTCTCCCCTATCACCCCACAACTTTGGCTCTGCTGGCTCCTTCCTAATCCTCAACACAAGCCAGATGCTTGCTGTCTCAAGGCTTTGTTTATCTTTTGCCTGGAATGGCTGGAATACTAATTCCCACCCCAGTTTATCCCATGTCTGACTCCACCTTATGTTTTAAGACTCCCCTCAGTTTTTACCTTCCTGAAAGTAGCCCACCTCTTACTCTATCATAGCATCTTACTTACTTTTACTTTAGAATTTAAAACGTTCTGTAATTATACTATTTACCTCTTTGCTAGTTTAAGAGTGTTTCTCTCCTAACTAGAAGGTAAGCTTGATCAAAGCAGAAATCATGTCTTTTTAGTTTGTGGCTGTGTCCCATGAAATAAAAGGAAGAGTGTTTGACACTTAGTAGACATTCAATGAGTATTTGTTAAATAATTGAATGGATGAATAAGTAAGTGAATGATTGATCTCAAATTCCATTGAGATTCCCTAACCTTTTCGCTTCTATCCAAGTGATTCATCTTTAGTCATCCGTGGCAGCTTGATTGCTAGTTTCTTACCCAAGACAAGTTTTCTTACTTTATTCATTTACTTTTTTGACTTTTTTTTTATCATGGTAAATATACAGGTAACAAAACATTTGCCATTTCAACCATCTTCACATGTACAGTTCGTGTCATTAAATAACGTTCCTCATGTTGTTCAGCCATCACCGTTAATATTCATTTACTTTTGATTCTGCCTGGGGCTAGCGGTCATTTTCCTGAATTGTTTTAACAGATGCTTTATGAGGAAGGTGTGTCAGAATGCTGATATATTCAGAATGTCTCCTGACTGATGCAGTCAGTGTCTAAACAAATGATGTCCACCCATCAATCATTCCTCTACTTCCTGCAATTCAATCTCCCTGCAGGAGTCATCAGATCTTCTCAATCTCGAAGACTGACAAGAAGTCCCTGTGGACTCCAGAACTCTGCTGCAGATGGGGAGGGGTCCTTGACACTAAGGTTTTAAAAGCCCCAGTTTCAGAACCAGAGCAAAAAACTCACAGCTAAAGCTATAGTTATTGCAGAGTTTTCAAAAGGAGGAGAACATGAAAGTAAGTAAAGATTCAATTTACTTGAGAGAAATGTAGACTTTTTCGTTATTTTATGCTTAATAATCATTTTCGATGCTAAAGGATATTTGAAGAAAATGCTTTTAAAGTAGAATCATTTGAATCTATTTTTTAATTATTAAAAAATTCATTAAGTTCACTCATTTCCTCATATGAGTGAGGAAGTGAAAAGAATATCTTTCTAAAAACTTTTAAAAATAGGGACTTACTAGAAGGTGAGCTGAAGAAACACTAAATATTACTAAATATTAAAATAGAACATAGCTGGAAGTAAAGGGTTTGTAATTATCATCAAGGTAGGAAGCAGAAGGCCCCATAGGCACAAAAATGACCCTCACCCCTTTGGCTGACTGTGCCATGTAGGGACTCCGAAGTCTGGCGGCGACAACACTGGCTCTTTTCTTGGTGCTCTCTTCCATGGGAAACTCCAACAGCGCTCCGCAGGTAATCTACGCAAAAAGTGGTGTTCTCAAATTGACTGTGTGCCCAATCTTTGCTATTTCTTTTTCTAATAGGGGACTGGGTCGCAATGTCTAATTAACTGCTCTTCTCTTGGGGTTGTAGAGACTCCTTGAGAGAAGGAACTGGACCCCTCAAGCTATGCTCTACCTGAAGGGTGCACGTAAGTTCCAAATACTTTGCTCTTCCTACGTCAATAATGGAAAATCCTTGGGGGTGCAGCAGAAATTCCTGGGACAGATGGCTCTCCATGGATTCCTGCACCCTTGTTCTTTCATGGAGAAAGAATAACGGCAAACTTGTTCCCTTAATAATCGAAGCCACCCTGGTCTTAGCTAATCAAGGGAAAGAGCCGTGGGGTAGGGGTGGAGGGCAGGGAAGAACTCCCTGATATAAAAAAATCCTCCATCCTAAACTGGAGGATTGTTGTTTCTTAGAGCAAATGAAGACTCCGGGTTGCCTGGGAACCATCACATTAGCTGGTGAACGCTGCTGCCTCTCCAAAGCCCACTCAGCGTGGGCCAGGGCGCGGGCTGGGCGCGGGCTGGGCGCGGGCTGGTGTACCTGGCTTTCTTCTTGGTCTCTCCGAGGTGCCTGGCTCAGCCTGGCAACTTGCCGCCGCAGCCGTGGCACCGCCTCCCAGCCAGAGACTGCGGAAAGCCGGCGGCCAGGGTGCCCTGATCGCCCCGGGCCAGGCGGGCCCTGAGCCCAGTGTTTTGCCTTTGCAGAGGGGCGCCGCTTTATCTACGACCAGGGCAGGAGGAAGGACCTCTCCGACCGGCCGCCGCTGGGTGAGTGACCGAGAGAGGGTTGGGGGGTGGGGGGGCTGGTCAGGCTCCTTTGAGCAGGACCGGGCGGGTAGGGCGCCCTCTGCCCCGGAGCCAGCTATAGCGTCTCCTCACCAGGAAAGACGTGGCCCTGGGACCGCCCTAAGATGAAGCCATTCCGGGCGGAGCCAAGTTGGCAGCGGCGGCCAGATCCCGAGCGCCGGAGCTGGCATCTCGCTCTGCCTTGCACTAATGGTGGAAGGGGCAGCGGAGGCTGGAGCTGTGGCTCCGGAAGCTTAACTGGGTCGCAGCCGCTCTGCAGGGCAGCCTTTTGGCAGCCCGGGTGTGCAGAGGGCGCTGGGAGTTAGCGAAGGACTAGCAGATGCCTTGGGTTCAGCTCTGAGGATTAAGGATGAGTGGAAAGACTGTGTAACTGCCTCTAGAAATGTACCTACGCCTTTATAACACCTTTAAAAGGTCTTTACGTTTCCCTCTTAAACCTTATTATTGTTATTATTATGAAAAATGCGATTTATCTAGAAACTTAAAATGTATACCTCCAACTATGATATTACTAGAAATAGCTACCAGAAGGATCAAGACCAGAAATAGTTAAGAAGTGTGGGCGATTAAGAATGGGGCCAGGGTCTGTTATTTTTCGGGATGAACCTTTCCATGCCATTGGATTACAAAATAACAGTACAATTAATTCTGATAAAAATTTAAAGACTGAAATGCTAAAAATAGAAGGTAAACTTATTTTGAAAAATACCAAACACATAGTAGGTGCTCAACATTTTGTTAAGCTTAATTACACTGCAAGCTTGAAGAAACGAATTTGCTTTATGAGGGTAACATTTGTTTTCCCATTTCAGTTGCTCCAAATGAAAAATCATAGTTTGTGTTGAATATCGGTGATTTGTTTTTTGTCAACTTAGATTTGAATAATTTTGAATATTTGGCAGATACGCCTTCAGTCCAATAGCTGTATTATATGTGGCTAACACTGATGTCCCTCAAGCCAGCCACCACTGTCTGTGGAGGCGTATGTGCTGCTGTGATGCTAAAACATTTCAGTGGAGCTTCCAGACTAAGACAGGCTGGGAACAAAGTCCTCTGATCTACTTTAAAAAATTAGCCAGTAGAAGTCCTGTGTATCACAACTGTCAGATCCCATTGTGCATGGGGTCATCAAGAGTGGGAGGCACACTCAATAGCAGCTAAGAACATGTGGCCAAGAATGCAGATCATTATCTCAAACTGCTTTGGAAGGATCCAGAGAGGAGGTAAGAGAGAGAAGAGGTAAACCTTTCTGTCAAGAGATCTCATTTTATGCTGTGAAAGGGAAACTTCTCATAGGCTCTTTTTCATAATCCTCCTTGCTTTCATGAAATTCTCTCTAGTAAGTTCTCTTCTATACGCCATGAAACATAACCTAACCAATTGTAACTAATTTCCAAAAGAAGTATGAAATATTTCGATTTATAAAAATTAGTCTTCTGTGAAAGGGATTGGAAACCTATTTCACAGAGGGTTTTGTAGTATTGTATCACACTATAATAGGATTTATCTGTAAGAATGTTCAAATGCTAAGACAGTCTGTATACATTCTTGTTTCTCCAGAAAGACATAGCCCAGAGAGCCAACCAATAACTCTTCCAGAGGCAGCAGCCCTGTTACTGGCTTCCTTTCAGAAACCACAAGAAGGTACAAGTATAGTGACCTCTTTCAACTCCAGGACAGAGATGCTTTGCTTATTTTGGGGATTCTGTGTTGAATGCCACAAAGTTGAATTTATTTATTTAGACTTTTAATAAATAATGAACAATCTATCCCCCAGAAATTCAGAGATGTTTAGCATAGAATAAGTATATTCCTCATGCAAGTGATTACCAAGAATATAAAAAAAAAAAAATTGCTTGATGAGACTAGGGAATTTTATAAGAATTTCATAATCCATGGCCTACTGTAACTTTTATTTCTTATTTTAGAAGTTGTAAACATGGACTAATAAATTCTTAGAATTGAAAGAGCTCAAAGTCCAACTTCCTTATTTTATAGTTGAAGAAACTGAGGCCACAAGAGGTTAAATAATCTCAAATCCTATCACTTGCTATTAAAAGATGAACTAAATAAAATTGCTGAACATCAACCATTTTTTACTTACAAACACAGCATTTTCTGATGGTTCATCCTTTTAGGCACGGGCCTGTTCTGATTCTAAACCTGTTTAATTTTCCTTACAGTATACAGCTTCTTCTAGACCAGGAGTAGGTGTAATCTTCAAACAGAAACAATGTTCATGTCGCATTAAAGCTAACCATTGAATTAAGGCATCTTGGTAGTGGACTTTGGAGTCTAACAGGCCTGGTTCAAATCCTGGCTTCACTGCTTACTAACTAGCTGGGTGACCCTGAGCCTCAGTATCATCATCAGTAAAATGGAATAATGATACCCATGGCAAGCATTGCCATGACAGCCAAATGAAACAAAGTATATAATTTTTATTACTGTTATGAAGACAGTCATCAAAGCATAATATGCTACTATTACTACTACCCGTTGCCATTGAGTCAATTCTGACTCATATCTATCTTACAGGACAGAGTAGAACTGCCCCATAGGTTTCCAACGCTGTAAATCTTTATGGGAGCAGATTGCGTCTTTCTCCCACAGGGCATCTGGTGGGTTCAAACCGCCGTCCCTTTGGTTAGCAGTCAAGCCGCTTAACCACTGTGCCACCAGGGCTTCTTAAAGCCTAATATATGACCTACAATTTTCCCTGTCAAAAATTATAATGATGCCATATTTATGACATAATTTTAGTGAAAAAATGGTATGTAGGTCAGTGGTTCTCTACTGTCTATGGATGGGGTACATCAGAATTAATTGAAGAGTTTACTGAATATGCAGTCGTCCCTCAGTATCCGTGGGGGATTGGTTCCGGGACCCCCGAGAATACCAAACTTCTCAGGTGCTCAAGTTCCTTACATAAAACGGCATAGTATTTGCATTTAACCTATGTACATCCTCCCGTATACTTTAAACCATCTCTAGACTACTTTTAATACCTAATACAATGTAAATACTGTATAAATAGTTGTTTCATCACAGTTGAAGTCTTGCTGTGGAAGGTAGCCTTTCTCTCCTCTGAGTTTCTGGAGTTCTTCTGGGAACACTGACGCTGCCTGGGCATCAGCCAATACCTATTCACTATGATCTTAAAGTTCTTGAGGCTGTAGCACTTTACAGAGCAAGCCAGCCATCCCTTACTATCCTGACACTCCTTCCTCTCACTCTCCTCCACCGCCTCGCACTTAGACTTGGAGGGATGCTGCCACCACTTAATTGTTTTTAGGAGCCATTTTCTCATACAAGTAGCAAAGGAACAAGACGCGAGGTGAACAAGTGCTGGAGAGAGACTGAGGATCTGTGAAATGGCAGGAGGCTATAGCAAGGGATGCCTACACATCCCTTCATTCTACTATATGTGAATTCAGTGTAGTGCTAGGCATGTGGCAAATTCAAGTTTTGCTTTTTGGAACTTTCTCCTCCCCCCCCCCCCAGCTATTTTGGATCCACTGTTGGTTGAATCTGCAGATACAGAATCTGTGGATACGGACAGCCAACTGTATACAAATTCCTTGGTCTTAGGCACAGAGACCCAGAGATTCTCATTCTGTATGAGGTCTCAGAATCTGTATCCTTAAGCTCCTCCAAGTTATCTGCTAATCAGTCAGGTTTGGGAACAACTGGAAGTTCAGAGCCAGTTAATCATGGTGGAAACCATGAGAATGAAGATCCTTCCCAGGGCTGAGTGGGAGGAGAGCAGAGAGCAACGGGCAGATTTACCTTGGAGATTACCCAAAAATCAATGGAAAGGGGGGAAAATAGTATTGGCAAAGGGTCATTAAAAGGAGTAGAACCAGATGTATAAGCGAAGAACCAGAAGAGCATAGTATCCTAGAAGCCAAGGAGGGGAAGTTACAAGAAGGGAATGATCAGCAGTATCAAATACAGCCGCATAGCTAGTAAGAATTGAGAAGTCGGAGGGGAAAGGAAGATTTCGGCTGGCAGGGAACATTAATTAGTGATTCACACGTCTCCCC